AAAAAAAAAAGAAGAAGGCATTTTTACCAAACCCTTATCACGTTCTGTTTGTTTCGTGACATAAAATATAAAAATTATTGTGTTAAAAATTTACACTGACATATCAAACACAATTTATTTTTTTTGCTTTTATCAAACTAAATTTTAAATCATATCATTTTTATGCATTTTTTTAAATAATTTAAAATGTTATGTCTAAAATTATCAGATTTAATTTCTACCGTATAATGGAACTTTCATTAATTATCGGGAGGATTCAGAAGCTGCCTCCCTCCGCGTACAATCAGTCTTATTAAGTAACCAATCTTCATCCAGTGTAAAACACAAACAAATCTTGTTTATAAAACCCCCAACCTTTATGAGAGCACAACTATCTATATATTAAAACAAAACATTAGAATGCAATGACACCATTTGTTGCAGATATAACATTCAAATTGCTCGCATGATTGACTAACCAAGAATTTGATCTAAACCGATAGATGACAGCGTTCCACCTGTAAGACACTGTATGTTCAATGTTATCATCCTCTTTTCTAAATGTTAATCAGTGAAAATGTCGCGACTAGCCACTTCATGTTCAATTAACATTTTAGACACACCACCAAGAAGCAAAACTGCCCTTCATGTTATCAGGGTTAAGATGACAATGGACACCAGCACTGCCACTGCGGCTGGCTGCAAGGAAACTTGGCCTTTTCGGATAGTTGTAGTGATGAATAGCAAATTCTGTTCCTGGATAACACAAAAGTCCTATAACTTTGCAGCCTCTCCGTGAAAAAAGTATCAATGTGACTTCCATCAACTAAACAGGGGCAGGAGCAACGTCTTCCCTGCCTCTTCTCCTCCACATTGATTGCGAAGTTACTCTTACCAATAGACACACTTAAATGTAGATCCATTTAAAGAAAAACCTCAAAAGATCATGAATCAATTCAGCATCACACTTTCATAAGTGGAGCTGTACAAACAAGTTGGCTGCTTCAAATCTGATTTGACAGCTTGAACTACTGCATTTTCTGACAAGAGACAAATATATCATCATAGACCAGAGAAGAAAATTCAATCCCGATTCTTAAAATGCAATGCATTCACCAAAATCCTGTAATTCTTTTGGCCCATAGACAAGTCCCTCTTCTTCCACTCCTCCAGCAATTCAAAAGCACCATTACTCCTCCCTCCCCTACATAACTCTACTAATACAGCGTTATAAGTCAACAAATCCGGTGCCATCGAGCTCCCCAACATGTCAGAAACGACATCAACAGCATCCTCAAGCATTTGCTCCATCGCAAGACTACAAATATACATAACAAACATTTTGTCTATTAAATCTTCTAAGCAAAGCATTAAACAATTAAGCGAATGTCTCAAGCGTGGGTTTACAATCATCTGATTTCAGCATTTTCTTGTAGACATCAAACGCGCGGTTGAAAAGGAACTTACGGCCGCAGCAGAAGTGGATTATGGTGTTATAAATAGGGACACTGATAGGGCAGGCTCCGGCGATAACTTCTTCGAATAGGGTTTCGGCGTGGCGATAGCGTTTGGCGGAGATAAGGAGTTTTATTATGGTGAGGTAGGTCGCATCGGTGTGCTTGTACCCGCGCTGTAAGGCAGTCCAGCGGAAGATGTCGAGGGCGAGATCAGCGTCGGGTCGGGCGCTCCGGGTTTGAGCTTTTGGATCCATGTTTCGAATTGGGTCTCGAGAGGGGTTCGGGTTCCCGGACGGAAGAAGGTTGAGAAATGATTTTGAGACGGTTGGGGTGGGTTAGAAAAGGGGCCGTGATAGAGTATAGGGTGCGTGAAATGGATTGAGATAAGGAGGTTTTTGGGGGGTTTCTGTAAAGTAAAGGTGAGCAAGCGATGGAAGGCTACAGGCATATTCAATTTCAGGGTTTTAGCGGGTGAATGGGAATCGTGAAGCAAGAAAAGCTAACCATTCAGTAGCTTTGACAGTCGCTGTTATGTGAATCTGAGCCCAAAAGTAAGAGAATTGGAGCCAGCTGTTTTTTTGATGGGCTAGGCTTGACGTTACTGATTAACCAGACTACGCCTTTGGTATGGGCTAGACTTGATAATAATTTTTAACCGGATTAGGCTTTGATTTGTTTGAACGTCACTTTGGAGTGTCGTGTTTGAAGGTTTTTTTTTTTTTTTCTTCTAAAAGAGATATTAGAACTGAAGGGTTAGTATTATATTACTGGGTGTACATTTTATTTTGGTATTGATAGTATTAACGTGTTTTGGTGTATTGTTTCAGGTTTTCCGATATTAATTAACATTTTGTCTATCAAATATAACATAAACACATTTTGATTATACACGCTTATATGTTTAGATGCAAATATAAATATTTAATATCTAAAATATTCAAATCTCAAATAAATTAAATAAATATAAAATAATAACCTAATTCAGAAAACATATATTATTTTTTGGATGAAATTGTGAACAAATAAAGATGTCATCAAAGAATAAAATAATGAAAATATTAAAATATACAAAAATAAAAAACCAAAACAATATATATACATCTAAATGTATATGTTTTCCTTCAAATCTATACATACTAATCGATACTGCTTAATAAACGCATAGGACTAGAAGTTTTGCATATTCTTTCTTGCTAGCTAGTGTTCGTTCAATTAGGGCAAAATTTAAGTGAGGCTTGGCAATCGAGTTGAGTGGGCTTAGCAAATTTCGAGATGACTGGATTCAATTTGTTAACTTTTTTAATAAACTCATATTTGAGTTAGGTTAAGTTTCTAAATAAGTAAGATCAATTGTTTGCAAAATCATATATATATTTTAAAATTTTTCCAAAGATATCATTTAACGAAGATATGAAACAAACAATTTAAGTTATTATCATTAATTTTTAAGTTAATTGAAGTTGCATTGGCTTAAGCTTTTAACAAAATAGACCGATTAGTTGAATTGAATTAGCTTTATGATCAAAACAATGATTCCTATATTTTATTAAAATTGAAATTTAATTCATTTATTATAATTCATAAAAATGTAATTATCGTATTATCTTAATTGAATATTTTTAATTTAATTATTAATTTCATCATATTTTTATTTTTAAAATTATTAACATTATTGTTGTATTGATAATGTAAGGGTTGAATTTACCAATGCAACATTAACTTTATTAATGTAACATTCACTTTGTCAACATAATAATATAATTGAATGAAAATAATCTTTATATTTATAAAAAAATTTATATTTTAATTATTTTAATATAATTCATACAAAATTTCATTCTCGTTAATATCTCTTTTACTCTGTTTTGATGTCAGCTTATAATATTTTACTCTCTTTTGATGTCTAGCCCTGGAGATACCGTGATGTTCGGTTTGAAAGACTTTCTTTAGTGAGAGCAAAAGTGAATTATTCTTTTTGAAAGAATAATTAACTTTTAGAGTGGGACTTATTCTTCTTTTTAAAGAACAATTACCTTTACATGGGGATTATTAACTGTTAATAGTCTTTCTATTCAAAATATATTTTCTAAAATGTTGTCAAGCCAAGGTTATTGGACTGGCTAGTTCAGCTCTTAATACATTGTCCCATTGATGTTTGGAGATTGGAGATAATGTGGTTAATTAGATGAAGGATTGAGTTACTAATGGATGCTGCATAGTAGTAAAATTTTCTATATTTTATATATATATATATAAAAAAAAGAATCCCCTTACTTTGGCTGGAAGGAACTGTCCTCTACTCCTTTTTTTTTTTTCTATAAAATAAATAAAAAGATTGTAGATGTTAAATTTAACAAATATTATTTTTTAAAAATATATAAATCAATTGAATTAAATATAAAATTTTGTTAACAAAAGATGAATTAATTATTCCCATGTTAATGATTGTAATTTTGCAAATTAATTGAATGAAATTCCCACTTTTCAAAAAAACTTCTTTGCAAGTTAGATGGCCATTGTTTTAATTACCAAACAAATATATTAGATGGAGCACAAATTTAATGTTTTTCATTTTAGCCTTTGTTTGTTTTGAAGCTAATTATATTACTATATTATGAAAGTCTTACTGCATCATTCTCTTCTTATTTAATTCAACACTCAACCACATTTCGAAAAATTTTAGCTGCTTTACTTTTTCATTTTATGCTTTACGCCATTGGTAAAGCAACTTTCTAAACTACCCTTCTTTATTCGATTGCTTTCTCAAACAGAATGGGAAAAGTTTTTCTTTTTCTTTTTTTTTGTTGTTTTGGTAAGATTGGATAGAATTAAGCATGATCATTGGTAAAATTTCACTGTCATTTTATTTCATCCATCCTCTGCATATTCTTTATCCCTATTTAAACTCTTTTCTATCCTTTATCCTTTCATCTTATATAGGAAGATTATTCCAAAGCTTTGATAATCAATCACAACTAATTTAGTTTGATTTACAACAGTGACAGCTCTAGATTAACACCATTTGCGCAAAATGAGGTTTTTTTTTTCTCCCTCCTAGAAAACATTGCGTCGCTGTCAATGGTCCATTGCCTCTTTATTATTATCATAATTGGAGCGAACGAATTTGGCTAGAAAAAAAAAAACCAAAAATGCAAAACTACCCCCAACAATATTAAATGGAGAACAAGCTATAAATAGACAGAGTTGATTTGAGATGATGTTTCTTCCTGCCCTGGATGCTAATGCTAATCCAAATATCGTTCCCCTTAATATCTACTGTAGGATTTATGGGCTTGTAGGGAAAGCTACAAAAAATGTACTGTGAATACACATTTCTGAGTCAGACGGATACAGCAACATCAAACAAAGGACAGCTGCTTTATATGTGGGGAAGCCAAACGCCCCCCAAACGGCTATCTGCTCTTTCTCGGACAGGGTCTTTTTTTCCGAGTCACCATCTCTTTTTTTTTTTTTTTTTTTACTTTCTGCTTTTTCCTACTTTTCCTGGAAACTAAACAAAAGCTAATAATAGATCACATAAAAGACCCTACCTTATTTGTCTTATTTACGACTTTTTAATTCCTTGAATATCACTTCACCGATCTTATTAATTGATTTTCTATCTGCGAATCACTTTATCATTTCTTCTTTTCTTTTCTTTTATATTTTGCCTTCCACAAAGGTAAAGTAAAGTGTCTATTAAAAAAGCATTATTCCCACCTACACTGGGGTCTCCGGTACACATTGAAACAAACCCAACCTTTGACGACAATTTCGTCAGCCGCTGCTTTGGTTCAACTCCCTATAAAGCATTGTCGTTAACGCATCTCACCATCTTGATCAATTCCTATTCACTCATCAAGGATCCAATCTTTCTCTCCTTGACATCCTTTTTTTCTGCTATCAACCTAAGGAAGAAGCATCTGATAGAGATGCTGAATATGGGTCTTCTTTCTCTGTATTTCCTCTTTCTTTTGCTTTCCATTTCGAGTAAGCTCTCTTCTAAAACCAAAAAATAAGTCATTTTTACTTGTTTTGGGGAGGTTCTAATATATCTTTATTTGATTTTTTTTTCTTTCAGGTGGTGAGATCTCAAGTCAAGTGGGAATAAACTACGGTCAACTTGGGGACAATCTACCATCTCCAAAACAATCAGTTAAGCTAATCCAATCCCTCGGAGCCAAACGTGTCAAAATCTACGATGCAAATCCCGACATTCTTAATGCTCTCAAAGACACAGATCTCCAGGTCTCGATCATGGTTCCAAACGAGATCATAACCAATATCTCCACCAATCAAAAGCTAGCTGATTCTTGGGTCGAATCCAACGTCGTCCCTTTTTACTCCAAAACCAAAATCCGATATCTCCTCGTTGGCAACGAAGTCATTAGCAGTTCCCCTAAAGAAATCTGGTACAACATCGTACCAGCCATGCGAAAAATAAAAAATTCCTTAAAAACCTATGGCCTCAACAAAATCGAAGTCGGTACCTCAATGGCAATGGATGTCCTGGAATCGTCATTTCCACCTTCAAACGGTACGTTCCGATCTGATATCGCCGATCCGATTGTTAAACCGATGTTACAGTTTCTAAACCGGACCAAATCTTTCTATTTCCTCGATGTTTACCCTTATTTCCCTTGGTCCATGGACCCCAAAAACATTAATCTCGATTATGCCCTTTTCGAATCCCGAACCATAAAATACACCGACCCGGTATCCAATTTAACCTACACTAATTTGTTTGACCAGATGGTTGACTCGGTTGTTTTCGCAATGAAAAAACTCGGGCACCCCGATGTTCGGATCTGGATTGCCGAAACTGGTTGGCCCAATGTCGGCGATATCGACCAAATCGGAGCCAACATTTACAATGCCGCTACTTACAACCGAAATGTTATCAAGAAACTAACCGCCAAGCCCGCGATAGGCACGCCGGCGAGACCCGGATGGGTTCTCCCCTCTTTCATATTTGCTCTCTATAATGAGAACCAGAAACCGGGTCCGGGAACTGAGCGGCATTTCGGGTTGCTATATCCTAACGGGTCAAATGTATACGGGATCGATTTGAGTGGGGAGACTCCGGATTCGGATTTCGAGCCTTTGCCGAAGCCAGATAATAATGAGCCGTATAAGGGGAAGATTTGGTGCGTGGCGGCTCGAGGAGTTAATGCGAGTGAGCTGGGTTCGGCATTATCGTACGCATGTTCGCAGGGGAACAAGACTTGTGACCCGATTCAACCAGGAAAGGAATGCTTCAAACCGGATTCATTGGCTTGGCACGCGAGTTACGCATTTAGTTCTTATTGGTCGCAGCTCAAAACGGCTGGGGCGACTTGTTATTTCAACGGCTTGGCTACTCAGACGGCTAAGAATCCAAGTAAGTTTATTTTCTTAATTTTAATGATAATATATTGAGATTTGTCAAATGTTTTGTTGTTTTTAATTATTTTCCGTTTTTTTTTTTTCAGGTTTTGGACACTGTAAGTTTCCAAGTGTGACGCTTTGATTTGGGTCCCTTTTTTATTCATTTGTGTTGAAGAGGGAGTAAGATACTTAAAAATAATAAGATAGTAATTTGTTTTGGCCTGTCCCTCTGGGAAGGCACACACACCTCTCTAGTTTAATCCTGATTTTGTCTTTTTATTTTTTGGCCAATCCTGATTTTGTCTTTTGCAATTTCCAGGAGATTGGATAATTTCAGGTTTAGTAAAATGGGCACTCAAAATCACTTCTAGTTGCTAATCATTCTCATTTGTTAATGTTAGCTTTGGTCAATGTAGTTCTTCATTACTAATATTTATTGAAATTTATTGTTTGCTGTTCTCTATTAATTTATATATAAGGAAGCATCATTTCAACAACGGCTAATTGCCTTTGTATTCGGTTGGTGTGGCTCTTTATTTTTGAGAGATGACATGGGTCCTGTTGCCAACGGATAGATAACGAGGGCTTAATTACGAGGATTGCTACATCTTTCAAACCTTTAGCTTGTTGGCACCTCTTTTTCCTACAGAAACTGGTCGTAGGTAGCAGTGGTGCTGGATTGTTGGGGCCAGCTATGCCTGTAATTCTCTTTATGAAAGTTGCTCAGCTTGGATTCCCAGTCATGAGTCATCCTCATCCCACTCTCAGCAGTCACACCACTCTGACAATTAATTTATGGACCGTCCTTTGTCCCTACTCCTTTTCTATATGTTTTTTTTTTTCTCTTTTTGTGACAGAAATAGGATGATAAAAAAGATAAAAAAAATTGACGATTAAAATTTAAGATTTAAATAAAAAATATTTAAATTTAAAATTTTATAATTTTTTATTAATGGATAATTTTTAAATTTAAAAAGTCTTAAAAAAATTATAAATCTATTTGTAAATTGATAATTTATTTTTATTTTAAAGATAGGATAAATTTTTTTATTCCTAAAAGTTTTTACACCAAAAAAAAAAACTAAATTTTATCACACAAGCTTGAGATTTGCCATAGCATAAGCATCCATGATCCTTCTTTTGATTGAATTTTCTCATTTTCTGCTTCCTTTCAAGCCTATTCCTTTGTTCATAGCGGATGAGATCAAATGGTACAGCAACAAAATGGGTAGAGTTGAGTTCAAAGAAACCATATAAATTTACTTCAAACTAGGATTTCGCATGCTACGCATAAGTCATCCGAATTCCAAAGATCTAACAAACATCGGTACATTATAAAAACTTTTTAACAAAGTGTGATAATTAGTAGTCCCACTTTTCATCTGTCAATTGGTAAGATCAAAGAAGAAAGTAATAAAAATGTGGCCTAAAAGCAGCTTTAGAATTGACATGACTGGACAATTATGAGGAAGTTTGCTTGGGTTGGGTGTTAAATTGGGACATGACATGTACAATATTGATGCAATGTGGTCTCTAGTCAGTGTATGGTGGTTGGACAGATTCCTCTCCTTTCCAAAACCTTTTAGTCTGTACCTTTTCCTGTGTTGGCTTTTTGTTTGCAGCGAGGGTGAGGTCTAGTATTTGCCTAAATTAAATGAGACCAAAACAAATATATGAGACCAAAGCAAAACCAGGGGAACATTTGGTTTACCTTCCCGTATTTCACCGAGAATGATGTACGAATTAAACTTGTGGTAGAGATACAAAGCCTGCAGAGACAGTGCCTCTGCTGCTCCCACGTTTGAGCATTGGCAACAAAAGCATGCGCATGCTTTGGGCCTTGACCTTTCTTCCAAACCCATCATATGGTTGACCCAAAATAATCACAAACCTTTTTTTTTTGGGGTCATCATTCATTAATTACAGTAAAATTGATAAAAATGCATGCTTGCAATATCACGGGTTTGCGATGCATTCGAGGAAAATCAACCATTCTTTGCCAAGATGGGACAACTCACCTAATGGCGCAGTTTTGTTTGAAACTTCTGGCATTGGTCGTTATCAAAGAAAACTCTCTACAAATTTGTCTTAATTAGAAATCATCAATGTAAATTCGAATTTCAAAATGTGATTAGTATTCGCTACTTAGTCAAATTTTCATAGGGAAAACCGATCAAATTTTACCTCTTTAGAACTATTTATAGAGTTTCCTCGTAACTAGAGCAAAAAATAATGGTCAAAAAGAAAAACAGATACAAAGGGCCAGGCCATCCAGGCCCATAGCTCCGAACCTTACTTCATAATGGGCTATGTCTTAAACCTTCCGCCTAAGCCTGACTTAGACTCAAGATTTTTTTTTAAGCAATCGAGTATTATATTTAGCATATTAAATAATCAGTTAACAAATTAAAATATAATTAAATAATTATATCAATATAATATAAGATTTGAATTTAAGATTTTAAGAGTTTAAGACTTTTTTTTACCACTAATCTAAGACCTCGTTAGCTCTAAAGATTGTTGTTTTATTAATAAAATTATTTCATGTTTTTATGTAAATTTAATTTTAAAATAAAAATAATAATATCAAAATAATTTTATTTTTTAAGAAAAAATCTCTTACAAACGGGCAGGTCGAGGCTTAGTAAGTTGCTCAATTTTTGCGTGAATCTTTAATTGAATTTGAATGATAATTGTAAATGAGATTTTATGAGCATCAATAAGCTCAGACTGAATAAATTGACTGTACATTTTCCAGGGAAATCAACGGTGAATTTTTCCAGGTTAATATGCATTTGGAGCACTAATGATTAAAGGGGCAAAGTACACATTTTTCATAATTAATTTTGAATCAATTTATTTAAAATTGAATTAATTAAATTATTTTATTTTATTTTTATTAATCTAATTGAAATTATTAATTTTAAAGATTAATTTATTAAATTAAATTTGATTAGTCCAATTAATTTTTTATTAACCGAATAATAAATACATTTAAATTATATTATATTTTAAACTTTTAATTTTTATATTTTAAATAGACTACATAAAATTATTTAATCAATATATTATATTAGAAATTCTAACCACTGATGAAATAAAATAATTCATTTTATTTATTTTTTATTTTGCTTTTGTTATATTTTAATTAAAATTTTAATTAATTCAATTAATTTAATTTTTGAATCTAATTAATCAAAAATTAAAATTTTTAAAAATTATTTTTGTTAACTAATTAAAATTAATTTAATAATTAATCGATTAATTAAATTAAATTAATTCAATCAATTAATTCAATTATAATTGAATTATGAACACCTCTTAACGCTGTTGTTGGTGGTTGATGTTACAGTCGGGGTTCGGAGCCCTGTCAATAATGGCGAACGACGGCCAATGCCCATTCATTTCTCCGCATCGCTGTTGTTTATGAATCAATATTTATGGATCCTGGCTCTGGAAAAGTTAATTGGATTGGAGGATAATAATGGAACAAAAAAATAAACAGTAAAAATATTAATAAAAAGAAACCTTTATTATTTTAAAATTACGTAATCACACCGGCGTCGTTTTATCAAACACATACATTATAGAGCTGCTGCATTAATATTCAGAGGCCCTTATCTTACAAAGAGTTATAGACTTTTAATCCGAGGCAGATCTCACCACATTTATCAGTTTATCCGTGACTGCCACGGCATCTGAAGTATTTTGAGCAACCACGCTGGTAGCGGTTAACTGGCTGGGGAGGGCTGTTTTTGTCAGGATGGCATCCGGGGTGTGGACCTCCAGGCCTTTTGCAAGGGTCGAGGACCCCTTCATTGATGGGCGGTGTCCCAGCTGCATCCACATGGTTCACCACTACCATGCTGATTAGAGCAAAGCAAATTAACCAAGTATTAATATTGGAGAATCCCATGACTTTTCTTTTTTATGTTTAATGCGGATATTGAAATATCACATATATATTGGTTTTGAACGACATCAAATTTAGAAAATGGCTTAAATAAGTGGGATATTTGTTTTGCTTTTTTCTTTTTTCAATATTTCAATCTAAGATTAGTACATTCCACATTTACTTATATTTTAGATGTTATATATTTAACTTCTTTCACTGCATATTTTATCCACCATTGGCGGTGAAACCGTGAGGCCATTTTAGAAAAAAAAAAAAAACCTATTTCAGCTATTTTAGCTGCTGTTTTTTCTTGATCTCTTTGTCTTTTAGATCCTAAAATTAACAGGAATATTGTTTGTTTTTTTTAGAAATGACAGACATTTGACAATAACCAATATAAAGCATTCAAATTGTTAGCGTTGGTGAAGTCACTTGATCCCAAAATAGAAATTCTTTGATATTTCGGTTGTTTTTCTTTTAATTAATTTTTTATTCAAATAAATTTTTATATAATTATAAAATATTGAAAATAGTTGTATTTTAATAATAATAATATTTATATTAAAAACTTAAAACAAAACTATTTATTCATATTTATGTTAATATTTCAAAATATTCAAAATAGTATTATTATTCTTACAACATTATTTCTATTAATATAATAATATTAAAAACAGTAATATTTATTATTCAAATGTTAAAATTATTTATAATATTAAAATAATTATATTTAATGTTTATAGTATTTATTATTAAATCATACCAAAAGTATTATTTATTTATACTTATTATTAAATTAATAATATAAATACCTTTGTCAATAAAATATAAAATGATATATTTTAAATTAAAAATATTATGTATTATATTAATATTTATTATGTATTGTTAGAATAGTATAATAATATTTATTATCAAAATGTTTAATAATATACAAAATACAAATATTTAAACTTTAATATTTTAAAATATTTAATTATAATTAAATAATATAATTTTATTAATATAATAATATTTTAGATAATATGAAATTAAGTCCGAATTTAAACAATCATATCTAAAATCTTACTTGAGTAGAATTATAAAAATATTTAAATTAAAAAAAATTTAATTAAAAAATTTTATTAATATAATAGTATTTTAGGTATGATCAAATTAAGATTGAATTTAAAAAATTATATTCAATATTGGAGTTGAATAAAATTATACTCATCATCTTAATAAGTAAGCCTATTCATAGACATTTATTTTTCAAAAAATTATTGTGATAATATTTAGAAAAATAAGTTTATTTTTCATTGATTAATAAATAAATTTTCATTGACTAATCAATTATCTGAAAAAAAAAAAAAAGCAATGCAAAAATTATTTTACGCAAAACGCCTTGATGTCCCAACAAATACAATGGCAAATTGCGAATCTTAACTTAAGCCAAACCAACTCAAACGTGGACCTTGAAAGAGAAGTCCATGTTCATCGCAGATAGTAATTAGTTTACTAGTAAGTGGATAGTTTAATTAATTGAAGCTCATCTTATTCGACGAAAGGAAATTAAATTTAGATTTTATTGGTGATAACTTGTTAATATTATCTTGAAAATAATATTTATAATTATTTATTTTAAATTATTAAATACAATAATTTTTTTTTAATATGAAAAATTAAATAATTTATATACTTCTAATTTATTCCTAAAAAAAAATTTAATTTAATCATTTCATATACATATATTATATTTTACTAATGGAGTTGTAGATTTGTTCTTTATATTATTATAGTATCCATAAGGATTAATTTAGTTACTAAACAATGAATTTATATTTGGTTAATTAAGATTCAATTTTTGTGAGGAAAATTTTGAAATTAAATTTTGAATCCAGAGAGAATATACTTTTAAAATCATTAAAAAATTAAGACAAATCTCCATAATACCTCTAACATAATTATCAAAATAAAAGTTTATATTACACTTAATAAAAAAAAGTTCGGCTGGGCAAGTGGACTGGAACTCGTACTTTAATTTCTTTGATTAAAGTAAACGTTGTAACACCCCACATTCATTCATTAAAGCTCTGATTACTAACGGTTCTTTATTTTTTTTTTCTTTTAGCATTTTTAATCGGTGGTTAAAGATATAACTTAAAAATAGAGATATTATTTAAACAAAAACCTTAACTTATTAATTTTTTATAATAGCAAAAAATCTTTTAACTTTAAAACAATAACTAACAATATACTTTTATAAACGTAACTTATTAATGATAAAATTTAAATTTTAAATTATGTTATAACAAATAATTTAATTATATTCACGTGATTGAATTTGAAAGGTGCAATATTTTATCCTTTCAAGAAAAAAAAAAATTTGTAGCAGCCATTGGAGGACAACACGACTACCGTAGCGTAACCCTTCTTATCAATACCTCAAACTTTTTCAATTATTGTAAGATAAAGTGTCAGTATGGATAATTTTTGTAAATAGATTTTTTTTTTGTCCGTTTATAAAATTTAGTAAATAATCATAAATAATATTTTAAAATTAATTATTAATTAAATACATTATAAATATAATAAAATTTATTAATATCCAATTTATTTGTAATAAAAGATATAAACAAATAAAATATTTTATGAATAGTTTATAAATAAATTTAATTTTTATTTATATATATATATTCATTTATTAAATTTAATAAATAATTATAAAAATATTTTAAAATATATTAATTAAATTAATAAATTACAAATATAATAAATGCATTTATATTCTATTCATATACATTCTAATTAAATTTAATTTAAATTTCAAAAGAATTATTCCCATCAATCATCCTAATAAAGCATAAACCAAACTTCAAGAAAAACAAATACTATGGGTGCTTTTGGTTTAGTTTCCTATTAAAACTGTTTAATGTCCTATCCATTTTGTCCCTTATCTCTCCCTCAATTCTTTCTATCTTATCCCCCATAAATTCATTAATTCCTTCTTTATCTTAGCTTTCATCACTTCCTATAAATCAAAGTTCATTGAACCAAATCTATGCTTACAACCAAAAAATATCATCAAATCTTTAACAAATTTCTTTTTCCTCATTTCTCTTTTGGGACATTACTGAGTTATTGGTCATTGTTTTTCCAATAACAAATATATACTCAATTACTTATCCATTTGCTGCCAACTTTTTATTTTTTATTTTTTAATTATCTTAAAATTTAATTGTTATTTATTTATATAATTAAAACTAAAATTCTTCAAATATTAAAAGAAATAATTATAACAATTTCTCTTACTCTTTTATTTATCTCTAAAAAAAATTGGTTTTTTTTTTTTTTTTTTTCCAAAAAAGCATCAAAACCTTATCCAAATGTCATCTTTTTAAGCAAAGGTAACAGCCAAAAGCCATAAATCTCTCCCTCCCTATCTCCCATAATAGTTTCAGCGTATTCCTCTGGGGTTGATGGACCATAGTCTCTTCCTCCACAAAGACCCTTCTCTCTCATCTTTTTTACCATCCGCGGTAAAAAAACCTTGGGCGCCCCACGTATTTACTCCTTCGAGTTCACCTTCCAACTTCACTTTTACCCACCGGAGACCACTTAGGACTGGCTTTGCTTCTACTGATTTCAATAATCGTAAGGTAACATCGGTCAAAGCCAGCGCCGGCGCTAGCCACTGCGACTTTAGTAGCTTGAACGCTCCTCTCGAGCTAAGGTCAGCTCCGGGGAAGTTCTTAACCAGCGTTCTTCAGAACCAACGACAGTTCTTCCACTTCGCCGCTGCCAATGAGCTTAAACAGCTCGCTGGAGATCGTGATACCGCCGTCGGTCGTATGTTTCTTAGCTCGGATTCTGATGAGGCCTGTCTTCACAGGTTTGTATAACAGTTCAGTTCTTTAGTATACTAAAAAAAGTATATAATTTTTTTTTTATGTTCTTTAAAGGGGTTACTTTTTGTTGATAAGTTGCGATTTGGGAAGTTCTAATTTGTGCTAATGATGATTGTCATGTTTGTTTTGGTGGAATAGAGGTTTTATCATGTGATGGGTCTAGTTCAGTGGATCATGTATGGAGAAAAGTCAACTTTGATTCAACAGTGATGCCAATTAGATTTCAATGAAATTCAAATCCATTGGACCTTGGAATGTCAATCCAAGAATGTTTTGAATTGAATTGAACTCAAATTGTATGATAGCATGATTTGTTAAATCATTTGTACACTTGTTCTACTAAATGAGATCCCTCAGATGATAAAGCTCTGTTGATGGATATGTTCTTTTATTTTCTTACAATCTGAGAAGAAACTCATGAAAATTGCATTGGACTTCAAGTTCATTAATGATGAATCATTCATGATATGAAAATTTTGATATCTAAGAAGGGTCGGATATATCGGTCTTTGTGCTTTATGGATGTCATTGTTTCAAATACCTTGTAGATTGACTGATTCGAAGACTATGCTATGCCTTTTAAATAAAAAAGTTTTTTACCATAATTTTTCTAGGGTCATAGTGGTATTAACTAATGGTATCTGGCTTTATCTCTTGGTTGGCATTGCAACACATCTATTTGGGCATTTGTGAAATCCAGTTAGTATGCAACAATGCCTCAATTGTTTATTTTGCATTCATGTTTTTTGTGGATATCCTCCATGTTTATCAACTTCTATCATTCATACTACTTTACTATTAAAGAAGCTATCTATATTTTCTTTCCACGACACATTATCTGAGGATATGTTCCGACTTAAATATTTCCCAACTGATGCTCTAGTTGAAGTGAAGCTTACTTAGCAAAGATGAAGCACTGCTACATGTCATTTTCAGATGAGGTTGCTGAAAGTCACTCCTATATGATGTGAAAATCACAAACAGTGGGCTCATCTATGCCAAGGCTACGGCTAGCATTAGGGCTTTCTTCATTCTGTTATTAGTCCCAAGGCTGAACAAATTAACTATTGAAGCTTAGTTTTCAGTTCTTTCCCTTGGTTCATTAATTGTGGTCATTCTATTTCACTTGTAACTTTAAGCTATGAAAAGCTTGAGAAACTTATTGATATTATAAACAGATAAAAACCACTCATTTTATAGGAGTTTCCCAAAACCAGCCTGCTAATGGGTTTTAACAAGTGTTTTGTTCCTTCACTCTAACACAACTAAATCTTGTCCTATAATAGAATGGAAGTACATAAAAGTGTTGGATACATGCTTGTTGGATGCTTCTTCCTGTGTTTCTATCCTTGTTGAATACAAAGTGGAATAGTATGTTTGATTATATTATAATGATTCAATTGAACTTTGAAATGCTATTCAGACTATTATCGATTTCATCTTTCTTCCCATAAATATGTAATTAGTGACTAGTATGGCTGCAATCTTTTGTTTTTGGTTTCTTTAAAGTTCATACTGTGATCATAAGTTAACTTGTCTGTAATTGTTAGTTCGTGGAAGTCTTCTGTTGGCTTGGATTAGAAAAGAAGTTTATTCTTTTTATGTTTTATGGTGATATCAAATAGACTTTCTGGCACAATGGCAATTGTCTTCTTCTGAAAGGGAGCTCTCCAAATCCCTGGCTTGGCTCGTTTTACCATGCACCCCGGTGATGGTTGTAATAGTATTAACTGCCAATGAAGTAGGTATTATTTTAGCTGGCAATATTATCACTCTTACAAATGAGCTGCCATTGGAATACCTCAAAATTATGTTGGATCCTTTGACTCTGTAGATGGTTAATATAACAATCTCTTTTGTTTATTCTTTTTTTTTTTACCTAATTAGTTTTTCCTAAATGCCAGAAGGATTGCTCAGCTGAAAGAGCATGAATGCCAAGCTGCTGTGGAAGATGTCATGTATATGTTAATCTTCTACAAATTCTCTGAAATCAGAGTACCATTGGTTCCGAAGCTCTCCAGGTGCATTTACAATGGTAGACTTGAGATATTGCCTCCAAAAGACTGGGAGCTAGAGTCCATCCATAGCATTGAGGTTTTGAAGATGGTTAGGGAACATGTCAGTACCGTTATTGGCTTGAGAGCAAACTCCAGTGTCACAGACAACTGGGCTACTACTGAGATCCTGCGGCTCCAGCTAGGCCAAGTTTATGCATCTTCCATCTTGTATGGTTATTTTCTCAAGTCTGCCTCCTCCAGACACCAACTGGAAAGATGCCTAAGTTTGGCCCTTCAAGATGGTCTGATTCATACGAACTCCCTTAAGTTTCCAGATCTGTTGCCTTGTGGATTTAAAAGTCTGGTATTTGGCCTTGTTAGTGACATGCAATCTGTTTCATTAGGTCTGGGGCCAGGTAGACAGGAAAAGAATCTTGAAGAATTAAAGTATTATGTGATGGGATTTGACCCGGAGACACTACAGAGGTGTGCCAAACTGAAATCCAAAGAGGCTGTAAATTTGATTGAGAAGCACTGCTGTGCGCTCTTTGGAGATGAGCATACAGGCATGTTGGAGACTGATGAGGTGATTTTGACTTCTTTTTCAAGCCTGAAGAGGTTAGTTTTGGAAGCCCTTGCCTTTGGGTCTTTTCTTTGGGACATAGAAGAATATGTTGACACAGTGTATAAGCTGAAAGATAACTGATTGGAGAGAAGGGTAAGTTAAACAATTAAGAATTAAGATATAGCAGTTGAGTGAAGTCTCTTTGTACAGATGCGTTATATTTTCTGCTCCATGGCTTTGGTTTGCGATCGCTTAGCAATTCGCCTTGTATGGCTACAAGTTGGTTTTATAAAAATAATTTACATACAAAACTTTTCTACTGTCTCTTGTTGCAGCGTTGGAGCAATCACCATTAGTCGTGTATCAGTTTGTAATTATTGCATCAATAAGATCATTTTACTTGTTTTCGACAGGGTTGATTACAAAATTTGAGATTTAGAAAAAACCAGTGGGTAGTTAATGTTCCTGGTCAACGGCGTATATATTAAAATGTCAAGCGTAAATGCATGGTTTTGAAGTCTGAGGGCTTTATTGTATTTCAGAAAGTTCCATGGATGGGTTGAGATTGCCTCTTGTAGACTTGTTTGAATACCGAATAACAGTGTTCTGTTGAATAATTCCATGGATTAACGTAATCGCTATTAAGATCTTTTTGCGTCTCTCTGTTCATGGTTTTACACGTTGAGTTGAGTGATTCATGGTTGTCCTATAAAATCACTATGATTTCTTTTCGTCCCAGATATAGATAAATTGTGCACTGAGGATCTTGTAAAAGCAGGATTCTCCTATCTTAATATCTCATAACCGTCATTATAGAAGATTGAAGATGCTTTCTTCCTATCTTTTTGTTTTTTTGTTTTTTTTTTTTTTAAATTGAAGGGATTCGGACCTAGATACATAAATCTATCTTGAAGCCCAATGCTTTAGGAATTGGGTCTAGATTGGGTCTCCCTACCAACTTAAATGCATGTAATTTGGGGGTTAGAAGAGAAACTTTTGCCTTCTTCAATAAAAAAAAAAGAGGAACTTTAGACCATCGTTGGTTATTGGCCCTTATCTTCAATATCAAACTAGATTGCAGTAGAGATCTTCAATATCAAACTAGATTGCAGTGGAGGTTGATCCATTGAAAATTAAGTATTCAACCCAGAACACATTTAAAAAGAAAAAAAAAATCAAATTGGTTTGGCCAGATGTTTGGAATGGACATTCTTTTTAACTTCTTTTTGAAACCTGGATTGGAAGCATAACCACTTCAAGTAACCTAAATTACCAATGCTTAGAAACCTGGATTGGAAGTCCCCTCCACTTCAAGCAACCTATCAACATGGATGGTCATTTTCTATTGAAGCAACTTGCTGTTTTAAAAATCCTCAAAACTTACTTTTAAAAATCTTGTTTCTCTAAAACCTGATGCTGTCTCTGATTTAGATATTCTAACCTACTGTTCATTTGGAAAAGGGGTTTAAAGTGTAATAAGTCAACAGGCTATTTTATAATACAATAATTAGCATAATTTTGGAATCTGTGAAATTGGCAATTCAAGTCCTTCCTTAAGTCTTTTTCGATAATAGTTGGGATCTCTTGTTTGAGGATCAATTTTCATTAATATAATCAAGAAACTGTACCCCTCCTACAAGACTTTTGATTAATAAATATAACATCAGCCACTAAACTCTTTTCTTGGAAAAGGTCCTTCCTATACTCTTAATTTGGAGATTTAACTCCCTGGAATGAGAGGATAACAAAAGGTTTTCATCATCAAATATGGTTTACTAACTCTTCTCTGTAATTATTTTCTGACAGTATATTTTTTAGTGATTATTAGTCAGAAATCAGAATCATCCATGTGAAAGCCAAATGGCAATTTTAGTTTCGCCGAATTTCCAAAAATTGAATAGAAGACAACCACTCCATATAATACTACGCGTAACAGATCATCTCACCCAGTTTCAACTTTCAACGGTCTATAAACTAATCAAAATACCTCCCTTCATTACTTGTAAATTTTACACCAATTGAACCTTCCATAAAAAAACTACTTGATCTCGTCTTCTTCATTTCCTTCCTTCTCAAGTTGTTTCTCTCTCTCTCTCTTTCTCTTTTTTTGTTCTCAGAACAACTAGCAGAAGATGTTAGCTCTCCTCTTCAAAGTCATTTTTTGCACAATCTGCACGTTATTAAACCTTGTTACTCGCTTAATCTTCTCCGCGACAGCTTATGCTCTAGTGTTATTGATCTATGGTTTCAAGGTACCTGGTGAAGCCATCCAGGGTGCATTAGAACAACTCGCGGAAGTCATCAAAGCATGTTTCGAGTACTTCCTAGAGAAGATTATAGAGCTAACAGGCTCTCTTATCTCTTCTGGTTTTAATCTTCTTATAGAAGCTGTTACTTCGTCTGCATCTTTTTCCGGGGAAGTTTTCAATACGTTTGTGGAAAAGACGAGAACTTCCCTTGAAGAATTGTTAAAAGACATACCGGAGATTGCTACAGGGTTTTCAGAGATGATTTCGACTGTGGTGACAGATTTGTGGAACAATTACAAGGAAGCTTTAGGATATGTTACAGAAAATTCTTGATTCTGTATTTGCATATACTATCAGGTTTCTTGGTTGTTTTATCAAAATTTTCCCATAAAATACTAACAATTTTGACTCAGAAACTAATTTCTTTCCATCAATCTCTACACCAAAGTTTTAGGGATACTTTTTACATTCAAAGCTGTTTCAGATCATCCATCTCCTGTATTCTATTCCAAACAAAAAAGCAAACTATTAGCTGCTAAAATGCATATATTATAGCTCCAAATGTCTATGTTGCCGGCACAATTTGACTGGTTCCTCCTTTTGATTTGGTACATACACAAGATCTTGAAGAATATGAATGTTCTATAATGTCACTTTCCTGATCAGTTTTCTGTTTTTTTTTTTTTTGGTTAAAAGAAATTATGATTTGCTGTTTCTGTTTACGAAAATGACCACATTTACAAGAAATATATAGGATGCACGTTAAGGCACGAAACGTGTGAATCTATGCTCTTTTATATACCAAAAAACAACTTCTGTTGTGTAAATAGGATGCTTGTTCTCTTCGACAAGTCCACGTTGACCATAAAAATGTTGTATGCTTGATCTCACAGGGAACCTCAAACAATTTTAAGGTTGTCCGATTTTAGGTAAACACTTGTCTCAACATTAATTTGGTCGGAAAAGTATTAGAATTATGGAAAATTATTTCATCTTATGGTTGAAGTATGCATTGAAGGGGGAAAAAAAAAACCTGTAAACACTCCAGCATTCAAATACCTTTTTTTTTATATATATTTTTTACGTTATTCATGTTTCTAATCAAATTGAACGTCTCAAGTAACAAAGTCAGCCAAAATCTTTTTTTTTTTTGAGAATTAATCTGCATATTTTAGATTTTATACAATTACATGAAAAACTTTGGTAACTAATATAACTAGTGCTTTCACCAATGATTATTGTTGTTCATAATATATATATATATATATATATATATATATAAATATAAATATGAATTCAAGATTCAGCTCAGTGTTCAATGCTCACTGTGCATGATTGGGGCCAGGACCAGCCCAATCAACAAATAGAGGATTTTGGCCTAACTAGCCCATTGAAATGGATTTCGATCATAGGCGGAAATATAATAAATTAATAAAAATGTTAATACAAAATGAGACGTAAAAGGAAAAAAATATATACATAACGAAAACTAATCTTAAACTTAAAAATTGTAAATAAAAAAAAAAGAAAACTCAATCACTCACAAATAAAAAATAATCAGTGTTTAAGCTTAAAGAGAGCTGGTTTTAAAATGAACTTTTGTGATTGATTTTGAGAAAAATGATGAAGTGCAAAAATGTTGATCATTAAGAAAAAAGTAGAGTGAAACCCTAAAGAACTTATATGTTTTTAAAATATAAATATTAATATAGAAAAACTTATACAAATAAATAATAGTTTATATAAACATTATTATATTATATTAGTTAAATTTTAATTTAGATTTCAAATCAAACCGATACAAACTAAATTAATACTTGATTTTTTTTATTTTAACCAAATAATATCAGCAGCTAAAACTTAAAATAAGAGTTAAACATGCTTAAAATAAAAAGAAGTTAGCCAATGGCAGCAAGTTACGTTGTTGGAGAAATTAAAATTCCCGCATTAAGATGATCTGCTAGATTCTAGCTTTTGTCTCTCTCTCATCTCATACTATCTTGTCAAATTACACGAAAGAAAACAGCCGGCTTAATAAAAGCTTTTATCTAATTCCATTTTTAGCCCTACTAGTGTGAAAAGAATTACTCTAACAATTAAATTATCATAATTTTATATAATGATAGTAAATTTTTTAATTAATTAAAAAGTATTAAATATTTTATTAAAATTTATATTAAAAATAATAATTTTTTGAATAATAATTAAATATGTGAACGCTCTAATATCATTTATAATATTTAAAAATTTTATAATTTTTTATTTTATAAATATTTTTAATAAATCATCTGATGACACTTTAAAACTATTATAATAAGTAAATTTTTATAATAAATAAAAATCCATAATATTAATTGTGAATTAGCGATATTCATTATTTACTCTTACCATAATAATTCAATTTCTAGAACCTACCATTGCAAAAGTGCCAGATTTGCTGCCAAAAGTATTAAAGAAGGGGTATATCCGTCAATTTATTCCTAGGGATCTTCTTTCGATATGTGGTATACTGCAAACACCAGTGTGCATCCAACGGCAAAAAATCTAACCCTACAACACCAGCCGTCTTTATCTTTAACAGCGACTCTTGCATTTTTTTTATTTGGCCTTCGAACAAGCTTAAAAGGAGCTTCGTTTTTATCTCCTCTCACAAAAAAGAAAAAAGGGAAAATGGCCGGGAATCTGATGCATGCCGTTCAATATAGTAGTTATGGTGGAGGAGCTGCTGGTTTGAAGGTAATCTACTTTACTCTCTGATTATGGTATTTGCTTGCTTTTTTTCATTAATTTTTATCTTATAATTTTTTGTAGATCTTTCAATTTGTGCGTATTGTTTAACTTAAAATACTGGCAGTTACTTGATGTCATAACGGCTGTGAATTTTATGGATGTTGCAGCATGTTGAAGTTCCGATTCCCACTCCAAAACAAGGCGAAGTTTTGCTGAAAGTGGAGGCAACTAGTCTAAATCCAGTTGACTGGAAAATGCAGAAAGGAATGCTGCGCCCATTTTTACCTCGCAAATTCCCCTACATACCTGGTATTTTACTTTTCTTTTTCTTTTGGCCGTTTCAATATCTTGTAATATTTATTTGACATTATCAGTTAGACTCCTAAGTTACGTCTGTCTTCCAAATCTGGGTTTTTCTTACTATGTCAATTTCCCTAGCAGTGCATTCTGAATAATGATGGCATTTTTTTTTTCACTTTTTTTGAAAATTAGAGTATTAATATGTTTGGTGAGCGTGTTTTCATTTTCAAAAACTAAAAACAAAAAACAGAATTTTGGAAATGGATGAAAACAGAAAAATGGTGTTTTCAAAATTTTGGAAACGTGTTTACTAAACACTGTTACTGCGTTGAAACTGTTCAACTGCTTGGCTACAGGACAAATTTTATTGCTTGAAAATCAAAAGTATCATGAAATTTTAATAGGTGAAAGGTTGGAACCCCCGCCATTTTAAAATTTAAAGCTTTACTTTTCCTTGTGCACCCATATTGTAAAATTTCTGCAACAAAAATAGTCTAAAAACATGTTTTCAAATTCTATATATTGAAAAATAAAAAAATAAAAATCCTCAAAAATATAAAACCCAAAATTGACAACAATGCCAAACAACCCCTTAATTTCTCAAAAGCAAACTTGGTTTGCTATCATATATCTTTTGCAAATTATATTAAAAGTATCCAACTTAAATCATCAGTAAGCATTACAGTTTTCTTTATGCTAATATTTGGTTTACTTCTTTTCAATCATTGGCTAAAGAATTTTTTTTGTTGGTGTAGGTACTGATATAGCAGGAGAAGTCATAAAGGTTGGAGCAGGAGTCAAGAATTACAAACCTGGGGATAAAGTTGTGGCTATACTTAACCACGGTGTAAGTTTTCATTCTTATTCTTCTGTTTTATTTTTCTTGTTCAAAATTTCAATTAGCATAAAAGTCCAATCTAGCTGGCTTTCCACTGAAGAGACACTATCATATTGTATTAATGTGAATGATTGGCTATTTTTGGATACAAGTGTAGGGGAGCATGTCATAAATCATTCTGAGAATAATCAGAAAAGGAGATTTCTTTATGAAGAGTGGAAGAAGCACTAGCACTGCACTAGAATAACAGATAAAGATTTGGAAAATAGTTTATGGTATTTGTGTTTTTGGTATTAGCTCGAGCATTTAATTGGATGTGAAGTTGAGTAGAACTTTAGCACATCCCCAACAATTCTTGGAAAAAGAAAAACAAAAAAAAAAAAATGTAATTCCTTATAACCAAACAATGCACTCCAGAATCCAACAATGGAGGAACACTGGTAAATCATACACCCTTATAAAGTATATTCAAGGACCGGAGCTAGCTTTTCTGTTCCAAATTAACCATGTTCTAGTCATGGAATCTGGTTGGCATCTCCCTGCTTGCCTGTTTGGATGAATCAAAGTTAATGAAAGCTTTGTTTCCTGTCATCCCCTGAATCTGAAATCCTGTTATATTGCTGACTGTGGATTGCTTTTCCTTATAGATAGAAAGGTTAACTCTTTGAAAGCATTTGAATTTCCAATTTTGCTTGTATTGATGGTGTTGCTTGAGGGAAACATATGTATGTTTGATATTCCACTGGCTTCTTTGTTGGTTCAAGCTATAGGAACATGCCCGGGCCCCAGATTTTTTGTGCCTTGTTACTTTTCATATTGAGTTGTATCATGTTTTTTGAATGCAATCATCTTTTGTCTATGTGACTATCATTTCTGAGGAAGTTATTTTACTATCACTATAAATGCAATTGGCTTAGAGAAGACCTAGATATTATTAATGTGAGCCAGTGGTATGGTGATTTTATCTTCTGGTTGTATTATCAGCAATTCAGCAACATTTATTTCATTTGCTACGGCCATCTTCTTTTATGGATATATTTTGTAATGACAGAGTGGAGGTGGACTAGCTGAATTTGCTGTTGCTAAGGAGAGTTTGACAGTGGGAAGACCTCCAGAGGTATCAGCTGCTGAAGGTGCAGGTTTGCCTGTTGCTGGTCTCACAGCTCTCCAGGCACTCACCCAGTCTGCTGGGGTCAAGCTTGATGGAAGCGGTCAGCAAGTAAACCTCCTGATTACTGCTGCATCAGGCGGTGTAGGTCAATATGCAGTTCAACTGGCAAAGCGTGGAAACACACATGTGACAGCCACTTGTGGGGCTCGTAACACGGATTTTGTCAAGAGCCTGGGGGCCGACGAGGTTCTTGACTACAAGACTCCTGATGGTGCGGCTCTGAAGAGCCCTTCTGGTCGCAAATACGATGCAGTGATCCACTGTGCAATGGGCATTGCTTGGTCTACCTTTGAGCCTAATTTGAGTGCAAATGGGAAGGTAATAGATATTACTCCTGGTCCTAGTGCCTTGATGACTTTTGCTCTGAAAAAGCTTACCTTCTCCAAGAAACAGCTGGTACCACTACTTATGATACCTAAGAAAGAGAACCTCGATTATCTTGTTAAGTTGGTGAAAGAGGGAAAGCTTAAGACAATAATTGATTCAAAGCATCCCCTAAGTAAGGCTGAAGTCGGTTGGGCTAAGAGCATTGATGGCCATGCCACTGGGAAGATTGTTGTGGAGCCTTAGTTTGTGAATATTACTTGATACTTACTGTAGTTTCATACAATTCAGTGATCGGGATTGCTTATGGGTCATGTGTATATTTATGGGTACTTAGTATTTCGAACAATGCAAATGATGGTAATGAGTGCATGTCATCTTTTGCTGGTAATTAAACAATGATATTTGGAGGTTATGTTGCTGAAACTGTATTGTTTTCGTTATAAATTGCACATAATACCATGGATAATTAGGATTTGTTAATTTTGTTTTTGTAAATAATAATATGTTTATGAAATGTATGTTTAAGATTACACTCTGGATGTACCAGCAGCAGGGTTTTGCAACAGTAACTGGAATGTTTGGTTCAAGCAATGATCAGGCTACGTATTAAGCCTGACGATGCCATTTTTGGATACTAGATGTATCAGATGTTTGAGCACCATGAGAGTAAGGAAAGAAGAGAGAAAGAGAATAAATCCTTTAAATTTGGATGTTCTCAAATTCATTTTTATTATCTAGATTATAGATGAATAAAGTGTGGGTGGAGGTTGTAAAAAGGAAATTTTAATGCAAATTAAATCTATATTATTAAGCAGCATATTGGAAATTCAAAATTTCAATAATAAAGTCAAAGAGAATTGATGGCATTGCAAAGCGAGTAATATCAATATCTTAATTCAAGAGAAATTCGTGGAAAAAAAAATCAAAACCAAAATAAAAATAGTTAGCCCAACTAGACTCATCAAAATTTGGTAGAATTCAAATTATTAATGTTTATCAAATGAAGAATCTGTGGCTAAGGAAAATCACCATTGTCAACATAAATGATAGAGGCGTAGAATAATCAAAACGCTTAAAACAAAAACTAATCAATGTGAGAAAGACACATTCGCCTACATTTCAAACTCTTCGACAAATCAACATTGGCAAGAGAAGTTCAACATATAGAACTTAACAATATTCACACCTAGACAGGCGAAAATTATTCAAAATCTTTCACTGTCTCGTGTTGCGTCGAGAGGATTTGCTTCGACTCTGTTCGATGAAGGGTATATCCGTTAATTTAACCATGTGGACCCCACATGTTCTTGTCTGGAGTCTGGCTACTATAAATTCAAGTATCCAACGGCAACATGTAAAGCACCATCCGGTCTTTCCTTCGTTCTCTTTCTCAGATACTCTCTCAAGCTTCTTGTCTTACAACAAATTTAAAAAGTGCTTCGGTTTTATCTCCTCTTAGAAAAGAATGGGTGATAATCTGATGCATGCCATTCAGTACAGTACTTATGGCGGAGGAGCTGCTGGTTTGAAGGTAATCTACTTCATTCTCTTACCATGTTATTTTTCTTGCTTTTTTTTTTAATTACTAATTTTTTTGGTCTTATAATTTTCCTGGTTCAAAAGTTAAAACATCATCTAAGTATTAATTTATTAATAAATTTTGACTGAAAGCATCATGATATTGAAAACGAGAAAAGTAAAGCTGGAAAGTTTGAAACATGGTTCCAAGAAGTTGGGCTGTTTTGAACCTAATGGTGACAAATTCAAATGGTATTGGTAAAAAGCTTAGTTCTGTCACTTGACATACATGAATATGGCTGTCTGATAGATGTAGCCAAACCCTTTTGTAATGATTTGAAAAACATGTACATGTAAACCTTTGTCTATATGAAATGCTACTTTTACAGTTAATTAGCAAGAGTAAAACTAGGTGATTTTCATTAAAAATTCGGTGTGTTTCATCTGTTGATGTGCTTTATCTTGGTATCATAGCAGAACAGTTCTCTGCATCTCCCCATAACAAAAGATAGATCTTCCCTAACAATAAGAAGCTTTCATCGTATGGCAAGCTTAGTTTCTATCGAACTCTCAAATTCTAATTTTTATTGTGGAAGTCGCAGTATCCACTCATACGCAGTGCACAACATCTTCACCGCCTTCACGAAGGATGGACCCGCAAGAGTCATCCAAAAAGATGATAGTGAAATTGAAAATCTAGAATATGTAATCTGGATTAATAATGGTGGGTTTTTTACCAGTTGGCTTTTAGTAACCATGAAAAGAATTAGGAATTTATTTGTTTAGTTGAAAATGATTTTTCGAAAATAATTTTCTTACTTTTAAGTGTTTGCTTGATAGAAAATTAATGAGTCAATGAAAAATACTTTATTAATCAACAAAAAAATAAGATAATTTTTTTGAAGCTTATCTTACATTTTGAAAAAGAGAAGAAAATTTTTTGAAAAAAATTATTTGTGAGTAAAATTATTTATCAAGCGTGTTTAAGTATAATTTTATTCATTTCGAACTTTTGACATAATTTTTTAAAATTTAAACTTAATTTTACCCTGCTCAAATTATTATTATATTAATAAATAATATTTTTTTAATTTTATTTAAAAAATCAAAATATTAATATTACAAATCTTTTAATATTTTAATTTTAAATATTTTTATAGTTTTATTTAAGTAAGATTTTGAATATAAGATTTTAAATTCAAATTTAATTTAATTCGACTTAAAATATTATTATATTAATAAAATATTTTATTTAATTTTAATAAAAAATTAAAATATATGCATTAAAAGTGTTTTGATATTTTAATTTGGTATATTATTAAACATAAATATTTTTAGTCTTTCAATAATAAATAATATTATATTATTATTTTAATAATAAATAATAATTTATATAATAATATTTTTATTATTTAAAAATTAATGTTAAATAATAAAACAATATTATTTTCTTAATGTGAATATTTATAATAATTTCTTTTTATTTTTTGTTTAAAGCATATGATTTTATATTTTTATTAAGATATTTATATTACTATTTTACTAAGAAATATAAATAATAAATAAAAAGATTTTTGTTATGATTTAATAATAAATACTGTCAATATAAAATATAAATATTTAAATAGTATAAATATTTTAATAATAAATATTACTATTTTAATTTTAATAAAATAATATTTTAAGAATAATATACTATTTTTAAATATATTAAAATATTAACATAAAATTGATAAATAGTTTTATTTTTTATTTTATATTAATATAATATTTTAATATTTTAATATTGTTATTAAAATTTAATTATTCTTAAATATTAATAAATGTAATAATAAATAATTTTAACACTTTAATAATAAATAATTTTTAACATTTTAATAATTATATTAATATTATTTTAAAAAATAATTTTTTAATTTTTAAAAAACAATTAAATAATTCAAATAATAAAAAATCTGTTTTTTCAAAAAAATAATATAAACATTTTGTGAAAAATATTTTCTAAAGTGAATTTTAACAAAACACATCGAGCCTAAGATTTTGGCCAATCCCCTTTGAATTTGTTACAATTAGTTTCAAAGCGTTCCAACTTCATGTAACCATGTTTCAAACTTTTCAGCCAGCAGATTTCAAAACTTTTACATATTTTTAAGCATAGGAAAGTGCAATTTCTAAAATGGAAAGAAAATAATTGTCAAGTTAGGGTTTTGCTCTTAGGAACCAAAATTCCAAAAAGGGTCTGAGACTAAGAGGCTGACGGCAAAGTCATAACATATTTTTGCTTATGTATTTCCAGCATTTTCCTGCTTTGATAAACTTCAAAAATTTTCCAGTGATTTGATATAATAACGGCCGTGAATTTTATGGCTGTTGCAGCATGTTGAAGTTCCAATTCCCACTCCAAAACAAGATGAAGTTTTGCTAAAACTGGAGGCAACTAGCCTAAATCCACTTGACTTGAAAATACAGAAAGGGTTGATTCGGCCATTTTTACCTCGCAAATTCCCCCACATTCCAGGTCGTTTACTTTTCTCTTGCGACTGTTTCAATCGTGTAATTTTCTTGAGACTTTTATTTTACTCCATGGTGGTATTTGTATTTATTTGACATTATCAGTTAGTCTCTTAAGTTACATCTGTCTTCCAAATCTGGGTTTTTCTTACTATGTCAATTTTCCAGGCTGTGCATTATGAATAATGACTTGTTTAATATCCTCTGGATGGTTCAACACAGTAAACTCATTTGTGTATTGTGTTTTAGTGGCTATTGTTAATAGAAAAAAATGTGTCTATTTGTTAATTGAAGCTATTGTTAATGGACAAAATTTGCCTATTTGTTAAGGAATATCCCTGTATTTGTTAGCCAAAAACATAAAATTACCGGTGGATAGGTCTCTTAATTTAACTAGTTGTGGTAATCTTATAGCAATTCATGGGTCCCATTATCATAGTTTAGTGTTTTCAAAATGTAAAGCGAACTTGGTTCGGCATCATATATCATCTGCAAACTAGATTAAAAGTATCCAACTTTAAATCATCAGTAAGCATTGCTGTTTTCTTTCAGCTAAAATTTTTTTGCCTCTTTTCAATGGCTAAAAAACTGTTGTTGTAGCAGCTACCGATGTAGCAGGAGAAGTCATAAAGGTTGGAGAAGGAGTCAAGAACTTCAAAGTAGGGGATAAAGTTGTGGCTGTATTTGGTGTAAGTTGTCATTCTTATTCTTGTGGTTTTTTTTTTTTTCCTTGATCAAATTTTCAATCAGCACATAGAAATCAAATCTACCTGGCTCTCCACAAAACAGAAACTGTCATAGCTTATTAATGAGAATGACTGCCTATTTTTGGATGGAAGTTTTGGGGTAGCATGCCACTAATCATTCTGAGAATAATCAGAATAGGAGATTTCTTTAGGAAGAATGGAAGAAGCACTAGTATAATAGAAAAATAATAGTTGACTGCAGTTGTGTTTTTAAATATTAGCTCAAACAATTAATTGGGTGCTGAAGTGGGTTGGGACTTTAATCATTTGTGCAACCCCAACAATTCTTGAAAAATGGAATTCCTTATAGCCAAAAGATCCACTTCAGAATCCAATAATGGAGGAACACCAGTAAATCATATACCCTTATAAAGGATTTTCTAGCACCGGTGCTATCATCTTTGCTGCAAATGAACCATGTCAGTCTTTTAATAAGTGACCTTAGTTAACTCTAGTCATGACATCTGGTGGGCATTGCCCTTCTTGCTTGTTTGGATGAATTAAAGTAAAGGAAAGCTTTGTGTTGTGTCATCATCAGAAATCGGAATGCTGTTATATTGCTGATTATGGGTTTCTTTTCCTTGTAGCTAGATTAACCTTTTAAATGGTAAGCCTATCTTTGAAAACATTCTGCTTTCCATTTGTGCTTATATTTGTTGTGTTGCTTGAGGGAAACGTATTTTCCACCGGACTTTTTGATGGTTCAAGCTGTAGGAACATCCCCAGGCCCCAGATTTTTTGCGCTTTCTTACTTTTCATATTGAGTGTATCATGTTTTCAATGCAATCATCTTGTCTACATGACTATCATTTCTAAGGAAGTGATTTTACTATAACTATGTGAAGCATTTGGCTGTCAGAAGACCTGGATAATATTAATGTGGAGTGATTCTAGCTTCTGCTTGTTTTATCCACAATTCAGGATCATTTATGTCATTTGCTAAGGCCATTTTCTATTATGAATATATTTTGTAATGACAGAGTGGAGGTGGACTAGCTGAATATGCTGTGGCTAAGGAGAGTTCGACAGTAGGAAGGCCTCCAGAGGTATCAGCTGCTGAAGGTGCAGCTTTGCCTATTGCTGGCCTCGCAGCTTATGAGGCACTTACCCGGGGTGCTGGGCTCAAGCTTGATGGAAGCGACCAGCAAGTAAACCTCCTGATTACTGCTGCTTCAGGTGGCGTAGGCCACTATGCAGTTCAACTGGCAAAGCTTGGAAACACACATGTGACAGCCACTTGTGGGGCTCGTAATATTCATTTAGTCAAGAGCCTGGGGGCCGATGAGGTTCTTGACTACAAAAGTCCTGATGGGGCGGCTCTGAAGAGCCCTTCCGGTCGCAAATACGATGCAGTGATCCACTGTGCGACGGGCTTTCCCTGGTCTACCTTTGAGCCAAATTTGAGTGCAAATGGGAAGGTAATAGATATTTCTCCTCGTCCCATTGTTTTCATGACGTTTGCTCTGCAAAAACTTACATTCTCCAAGAAGCAGCTGGTACCACTGATTATGTTACCTAACAAAGAGAAACTCGAGTATCTTGTTAAGTTGGTGAAAGAAGGAAAGCTTAAGACAGTAATTGATTCAAAGCATCCTCTAAGCAAGGCTGAAGACGCTTGGGCTAAGATCATCGATGGCCATGCCACTGGGAAGATTATTGTGGAGCCTTAGTTTGTGAAGATTACTTGATACTTACTGTAGTTTTATACCATTCAGTGATTGGGGTTGCTTATTGGCTGTGTATTTCATAGGTACTCAAATACCAAATAAATAAATAAAAAAAACTACCCACCACCTTTTTTATCCGAAAAACATAAAAGAGAGAATGGGTGAGATTCATGAAAAGAGGAAGTAGTAGTTTTTATTTTATAATATGGAGGTAATGGGTTTTACATGGCGGGGCAGTTTTTTACATTGGAAGGCTGCTACATGATTATGTGGCACCTGGCCAAGCACAACTCGAATGTAAGTGAAGAAGACAAAAGTACTTAAAACCAAAGTACTATACGGTAAGGGGTAAAGTGGTATTTTTCTCCTAGTATTAGTACGTATTGTTGTATTTCGCTCTTTTTTTGAGTAAAAATTAGCCATTTCATGTGGGATGAATGTAACGCAAAAACAAAATCCCTATGGGGTAATTAAGACAATGTTCGTTGAATAAATTTAAGGTATAATAAATTTGGTTTTTCATATTTTCTTAAATGTTATTGTCTTTTTCTTTTTTTGGCCAGAAAACATTGTTGTTTTTTCTTTGGCCAAGAAAACGTTCTTGTTTAATGGCACTTAATTGCATAACCCAAGGTTTAATAGACGTTATTTTCTTTCATCTCTCGTTTTGTTTTTCTCTCTCTAACTTTCCCTTTCCAACCCTAAACGTCCTTTTCAAATGTCTAAACCCATTTCTCTCTCTTTTCTATCTTCTTTTTTTTTGTAATTTTCCCTTTAATTTTTTCAATCATCTACACAGATTACGGACTGTGAGGGTTTAATTATCAGAATCTGAGTACTATCGCAATAAACTTGCTAGAGAAGTATTTGATAGGACGGGAGATGCTTTATGCCTCGCGTAAAGCTTTTAAAGAGTGTTCCTTGCTTTTGATCGATGAGTAGGACAGGTTGTAAAGGAAGCCGAATGTCCTAATTGAAGGTACATGAGATGCATGCAGCAGGTTAGCTTTGTTCTTCCTGTTTCTCCTTCACTTTAGTATCTCTCATGGATTAATCTCCCAGTTTTGTGAGTTATATTTGGTCCACTTTGCTACGGCCATATATCATTTGTTTTAGTTCTGTTTGAATGGGGAATTTTGATGGCATTAATTATCTGTTTGATGTATTTTTGTGTCTGTAATTCTGCATTGCTTTGCTGTCTTTCTACAAAAGAATGTTCCTTGCTGCCCCTGAATCCAAGGATGAATACTGTTCAACATGCTTCACCGTTTTGTTGACTTGAACAGGAATTGAGAATTTCATTGTGAGCTGAGTAATAGTCAATGTAACCGCAGACAAAGGCCCATTGACGTAGGGAATGACGATGGTTTTCTTTATTAATTAGGACGATGTAACTTTTAAACTCCGAAGAAACTTTATTCTTTTTGGCCAAGTAAGTGCAGAGAAATCTAGGACAATTATTTAAATTATTTATTGAGTCCCAAATGATTTTCATAAATTTTTTAACTTACAACTTATAAGAACTTATCGATTGAGTCGAATTTTAGTATTTTTATATCCGATTCGAGTAGCTCACGAGCTTAATCGAAGTTTTATATTTAAATATATTTTTATTATTTTAATTAATAAAATATTTCGAGTTCGAGTTCGAACATAAATAATCAAACTTTTATCGAGTATACGAATTGAGTTTATTTTTACATATTAATCGAGTTTATTTGAACGAATTCGAGTAGCTCGAATTCGATCACGAATTGAGCTCGAGTTTGAAAAATAAAACTCAATCGAGTTCAAATCGAGTATCGAATCTCGAATTATGAATCGAATTCAAACTCAAATTTTTTTTTGTATCAGTTCGATTCGATTCGATTACATCCATACTTACAATTTATAAGATATGCATGCATGGCTCAATGCACAAGACTGTTTCTTATGAAATTATAAATATAAGAAAAATTATAATTATAATAAAATATTATATTTATGTATAAAAATTATTAAATATTAATTAATAAATTAAAACATAATTAAATAAATAAAATATAAAATTAAATCAATTTCACACTAAATGAAATTTCAACTTAAGTTCTGCTTCTATCTTTTTTTTAATTCAAAGTAAAAAATCGTATCCATAAAAATCTAAACTCATCAATTTGTTCTCTATCAACTATATATATATATATATATATATATATATCTCTCTACTAAATTCATCGATATTTTATCTATCCTTTTCAAAATTTGGTAGTGTATCAAATTCGGTCTTTATCAAATGAATAATCTATGACAAACGAAATTAGTATATATCCTTTAATTTTATTTATTTATTTATTATTATTAATATTATTCCCGGATTCCCCGTTAAATCACCATCGTCATCAGTCATGAAATGACATTTGCCTACTACAATTCAAACATTTGGACAAATCAACTTTGGCAACCAAAAATAAAATAAAAGAGGCTTGGGCTAAAATCAATAATATAAAACTATAATAAGCCGATAACAGCTGTCAGGCCTAAAAATGGAAAAAAAATGGAAACAGCCGCCTAACATGAACCTTTTTCTTTATTTAAAAGGAAATATCCATTCTCATCTTATGTATGAATGGTAAAATTTTTAAATTTCACGATTGAAATATTATAATTTAAAGATAATAAACTTTTATAATAATTAAATAAAAATATGACTACTTTTTAAAAAATATATTATACCGTATGTTAATAATAATTCTTAAAGAAGACTATGACTATATTTTGTTTTCGGACTAATAATATTCAAATTCTAGAACATTATCAGTTTCACACATACACGCCAAAATTAAGAAAAAATTTCCCTTATCTCGTTTGGACGGATTTCATGTCTGCGTTACTATAAATTCAATTATCAGTCGCCAAAATACATCATCCAATAGCATCTTCGCTATTTCTCTTTATCTTTCTCGGATATTCTCTCCATCTTCTTGCCTAATAAACTTAAAAGGAGCTTCAGTTTTATCTCATCTTACCCAAAAGAAAAAAAATGTCTAAGGATCTGATGCGCGCCATTCAATATAGTAAATATGGCGGAGGAGCTGCTGCTTTGAAGGTAAAGCTACTTCATTCTTTGATTATGTTATTTTTCTTGCTACTTTTTTTTTTGGGGGGGGGGGGTTTAGAAGTTAAAATCAAAAGGAAATGTTTTTTTCATGTTTAAATGGAGATTTAATTAAAGATTGTTTATCTAGTCCTTGTATTGATGAAGAAGGGTGAAGAAGGGTTTTGAAATTAGCTAGATTTTTGGACAAAACGTTTTGAATTCTAACGACTAAAGTAATATTTACGGGGAATAAGTAAGTACGACAACATCACGATCTAGTAGGATATCCTCTTGAAATATCTGCTGACATGTCAATTTTTTTACACTTGTGTGGCTCATCATCACAGCCGCCGCTGCCGCTCTTCTGCCTCCTCCCGCCCTTTTCTCCTCTTGTTTGGATCAAATTCGCTTTACTCCCTAGCAAATTCTCCCTTTGTGCTTTGTCTCTCTTTTTCTATTTGATTTCTGTTTTTCACTTATTGCTGAATCCCCCTTTTACCTGGTTTGCACCGTCGTGCTCCAGCTGCGCCGCTGTTCGCCGCTCCTCTTCCTTTCTGGGCTATCAGGACTCTGAATCTATCCACTTCCTACTTCCTGAATTTCTATTTAATTGTTTGGCTGTCTCCCTTTTTTTTAAAAAAAAAAAGAAAATTTCAAACTTTCTCTAAGGCTTCGATTCCAGGTGAAATCGAAAACGGTCAAGAATTTTGGTTGTTTACCAAGTTGGGGTTTTGAGGTTTGAGTCACAAGGACTAATTGATTCCTTTACTAGCATGGAAAAGAATGAAATAATTTGGAGATCAAAGTTTAATACTTCAACTCATCAATTGATTCTATTAGTATGGGAAAAGATGATAATCATTCATGAATCATGGTTGAGTATTGATGAGGGTTTCCATCTTTTCTTCTCTCTTGAAAAGGAGAGGAACAATTGAGAAAGAGTATGAGAGACTGAGAGGTTGACGGCAAAGTCATAACATATGTTTGCAAATGTACTTACATTATTTTTCTTCTTTGATAAACTTCAAAAAATTGCGAGTTACCTGATGTCATAATGACCGTGAATATTTTGGCTGTTGCAGCATGTTGAAGTACCGATTCCCACTCCAAAGAAAGATGAAGTTTTGATAAAAGTAGAGGCAGCTGGTATAAATCCAATTGACTGGAAAATACAGAAAGGGATAGCGCGGCCATTTTTACCTCGCAAATTCCCCTTCATACCTGGTAACATACTTTTCTCTCTTGTGGCTATTTCAATCTTCTAATCTTCTTGAGACTATTTATTTTAATTACTCGGGGAGTGGTATTTGTATTTATTTGACATTATCATGTAGACACGTTTAATATCTCAAAAGCAAACTTGGTTTACTATCATATATCATCTGCAAACTATATTAAAAGTAGCCAACTTTAAATCATCAGTAAGCATTGCAGTTTTCTTTCAGCTAATATTTGATTGCCTCTTTTCGTTCATTGGCTAAAGAACTTTTGGTGGAACAGGTACCGATGTGGCAGGAGAAATCATAAAGGTTGGACCAGGAGTCAAGAATTTCAAAGTTGGGGATAAAGTTGTGGCTGTACTTGGTGTAAGTTGTCATTCTTATTCTTATGTTTTTTCTTGTTCAAATTTTCAATCAGCAAAGAAAGCCATCTACCGGGCTCTCCACTAAAGAGACACTATCACATGATACCAGTTGTAGGGTGGCATTTCACTAATCATTCTAAGAATAATTATAAAAGGAGATTTCTGATTGAGGTGTGGAAGAAGCCATAGCAATGTACTACCATAGTAGATAAAGATTTGGAAAATAGTTGATGACATTTTTGTTTTTAGGTATTAGCACTGGGTAGCACTTTAGTGCAACCCCAATAATTCTTGAAAAAGAAAAATGGAATTCTTTATGGCCAAATAATCCATTTCAGAATCCAACAGTGGAATAACACTAGTAAATTATGGACCATTATAAAGTATTTTCAAGGACTGGCGTCCATATTTTTGCTCCAAATGAACCCTGCCAGTCTTCCAGTGAGTGACCTTAGTTAACTCTAGTCGTGACATCTGGTGGACATTGCCCTGGTTCCCTGTCTGGATGAATCAAAGTAAATGAAAGCTTTGTGTTATGTCATCCTCTGAATTTGAAATGCCGCTATATTGCTTATTATGGGTTGCTTTTCCTTGTAGATTGAAAAATTAACTTTTCAAATGGTAAGCCTATATTTGAAACCATTCGGCTTTCCATTTTTTCTTGTATTGATGGTGTTGCTTGAGGGAAACGAATGTATGTTTGATGTTCGACTGGACTATTTGTTGGATCAAGATATAGTAACATCCCAGGCCCCAGAATTTTTCCCTTATTACTATTCGCATTGAGTCGTATCATGCTTTGAATGCAATTATCTGGACATGACTATTGACTATCGTTTATGAGGAATTGATTTTACTGTCAATATGTGAGGCATTTGGCTGTGAGAAGACCTAGATATTAAATGTGGGCCAGTGGTATGATGATTCTATCTTCTGCTTGTTTTATCTGCAAGTCAGCGTTACTTATGTCCTTTGCTTTTGCCATCTTCTATTATGAATATATTCTGCAACAACAGAATGGAGGTGGACTAGCTGAATTTGCTGTGGCTAAGGAGGGTTCGACAGTTGCAAGGCCTTCAGAGGTATCAGCTGTTGAAGCTGCAGCTTTGCCTATTGCTGGCCTTGCAGCTCACCAATCACTCACCAAGGCTGCTGGGGTCAAGCTTGATGGAAGCGGCCAGCAAGTAAACATCCTGATAACTGCCGCTTCAGGTGGTGTAGGTCAATATGCAGTTCAACTCGCAAAGCTTGGAAACACACATGTGACAGCCACTTGTGGGGCTCGTAACATTGATTTAGTCAAGAGCCTGGGAGCTGATGAGGTTCTTGACTACAAGACTCCTGATGGAGCGGCTCTGAAGAGCCCTTCTGGTCTCAAATATGATGTAGTGATCCATTGTACAACAGGCATTCCTTGGTCTACCTTTGAGCCCAATTTGAGTTCAAATGGGAAGGTAGTAGATACTACTCCTGGTGTTAGTACTTTGATGAGTGTTGCTGTGAAAAAGCTTACATGCTCCAAGAAGCAGTTGATACCAGTTTTTACGGACCCTAAGAAAGAGAACCTTGAGTATCTTGTTAAGTTGGTGCAAGAAGAAAAGCTGAAGCCAGTAATTGATTCAAAGCATCCTCTAAGTAAGGCGGAAGACGCTTGGGCCAAGAGCATCGATGGCCATGCCACTGGGAAGATTATTGTGGAGCCCTAGTTTTATACAATTCAGTGAGTGGGGTCGCTTATGAGCCATGTGTATATTCACGAGTAGTCAGTATTTTGAACAATGCAAATGTTGATGTGAGTTTGTCTTGTCTTTTGCTGTTAATTTAAAGAATGATGTGTGGAGGTCATGTTGCTGAGCGCTGTATTTTGTTATTGAATATAAAATTTTTTGTTTAATGTGTTCGAATTACAGATGATGCTATGGATATTTAGGATTTGTGAATTTTGTTTTTGGAAATAATAGTGTTTATGAAATGTATGCTTAATATTACACTCTGGATGCAAAGCAGCAGCAAGTTTCTTTAAAATTCAAATGTGTAATATTTTATCATGTGATTAATTATAAAGTATATAGCATAGATTATTAATGTGTCTCTTATCAATTATCATAATGATTTATATGTTACATGATTTCTTAGCATATAATTATCAACATAATTTATTCGTGACGCTATAATAAAATTTTATTATGTGAAATAGTATATATTATATGATTTATTATTATTATATATGTTGTTTAGAATTATTTATCACAATAATTTCTTATCATGTATTCATATGATTGAGATTAATTTGATCAAAGCTCATAATCATAAATGTTGCTTGCTATTAATTGTTAAGTATTTATTATCCTTCTCAACTCTACTTTCTAAAATAATTCTTTTTATTTTTTATAAAAGTTACAAAAAGAACAGTATATATATGCTTAATGTGTTATTAAATTTATATATTTAATATATAAATCATTAATATAAAAACTTATTTACATATTAAAAAATTATCAAAATTTAGATACCCATTTAATATGGATTATATATATAATGAAAAAGATCCACTTGCATCATTCATAAGTTTTACACTTTTTTTTATTTAATTTTTGGATCAAAATAGCTAAGATTAAAAATATTGTTTTGATTTAAATTAATTATTGATTTAATTTTGATTCAAGGATTAAAAGATAATGTAAAACTTACACTAATGTAAATAAATCCCTACTTATAATTAATATATACATTAGTAATATAAAAATCATAAATGTATACATATATAACTCTATTTTTTTGTAGCACCGACAAATCCAAAATAATGTCCTCCTGGATAACGAGCAACAATCATATAAAAAATTGCATATTAAATGAGTATAATAATTAAATTATTGAAATATTCTTTATATATATATATATGATATATTGAATACATAATTATGTATCATAATTAAAAATTTAAAATAATTTTTAAATATTTATATTAAATTAAATATAAAAATGTATTAAACGTATACTCGTATAATATAATTTAGTAAAATGTGTTTCTAGTGTCTTATGTGTATTAACGTCATTTTTGTGCATAGAATGAAGGATAAGATAGTATGATAATTATTCTATGTTATATTTAATTTGTATCTAATTCAAAGATATAAGATTACAATGAATATTATCATTTTTTTGGTATAAAATGATTCAATTATCTCAAAGTGAAAAGAATTATTTTTAACTCATTTGATTAAATTTAATATCTTATTATATTCTTAAAAATTATATCAATAATTTAAATTGTATAAACTTTAAAAAATAATAATTTTAACCAATAAATAAATTATTCTGTCTTAATATTTATACGTATAAAATATAAGATAAGATGATATTATTTAATATAATCTTATTCATAATATCATTTATCTTATTATATCATAATTTTGTGTATCAAATATAACTTATATATATATATTTGTATAACTAATGAGATTTTAGTTTAGTAACAAAAAAGAGACCCTATAATCTTAAGGTTTTAAGTTTATTATGTGAGATTTGATTCAGGTTTATATTAAAATTATCTAATTATATTTTAATATTTTATATTAAATTTATTTAGTTATTTCTTCAATTATTTTATTGTTTCATTATTCATGATATAATAGTTAATTATGATTATAATTTTTAATTAAAAAAAATTATATTTGTATACTACAATTTAATTAAATATACTTTTATATAGCTTAAATGTATTAAACATTTTTTTGAAAAGTAAAAAATATATATATGTAAAACATTACTAATATCTAAAATTTCATATTAATCTAACTAAACAATAAAATTTTTATCATATTCGAGTAGTATCTTGTAATCCACTTCTTTTGTCTAAAATTGTTGTCCATCCAATCCGTCTAATCTCATGCCAATGTGCTAATTTATTTACTACATTAAAAGAAAAAAAAAGAGAACATGAAAACAATAACCTAACATAAACCGTACGGACAATAACAGTTTGATTCAAGTTAAATTTAATTTAAATTTTTTAAAAATATTATATATTATTAAAATTTAAAATTTGATTTGAATCTGAATCAAATTTTAATTTGATTCGAACTAAATTGAAGTTTACATGTTTTTAACTTTTAATTTTTATATATTATTTTAATATAAAATTTAATATATTTTAATATAAAATTTTTATTTTTATTTTATAAAAATTAAAAAAATATATAAACTAAAAAATATATAATTTGATTTAGTTTGATTTTTTTTTTATTTTTAAATTTAAAATTCGATCAAAACCTAATATATATATATATATTTAATATCTAAATTTAATCTGAATCGAATAAAAAAATTAGATCCAAATAAAACCATACAATATGGTTTATAATAAACCTTTTGTCCAATTACTAGAATAAAAATATCTTATTAGCAATTGAGAAAGAAAAATAAAATAAATACATTCAGGTTGGTCAAGGAAAATTTTTTTTAATTTGTTTTCTCCATTTAAAAATAAAATTTATTATCCTCTTATATATTGATGATGAAAATTTTAAATTTTGCTATCACATATTTCATTATAATTTATTTAAAAATAATAAAATTTTATTATAATTAAATAAAAATATGACAACTCATTTATAAAATTTAAAATATCGGTTATCAGGAAAGAGATCAATTTATACAAAAAAATTTATACATTTTTCTAACTATTAATTATAATATATTCAAAAATTAAAAGAGACAACTAATGAAAATGGTTTGATTATTCCCCTTATCAATTATATATATAATAATTCATAAGGATGTCACCGGAGGTATGAGAAAGATAATATATTTATCTTCTCTATTTTTAGATTTTTATATTATATTTATACTTAATAATATTTTTTTTTCATTTTTATTCTTACAAGTATTTAACAAGTATTAATAATTGTCATACATGTAACTTTTTAAAAAATAAAAAACAAAATTGAAAATATATTAATTTTAATTCATTTAAAATAATAATTTATATTTTTAATTAAAATTTTATTTATAAAATATATATATATATATATAAATGGGTATGAGTACAAATACAAATATGAGGCTTGATATTATATTATTAATTTTTATTTTTGTACTCAAAAAATTTAAAATTATATCAATTCTCATAATGTAATATTCATCCAAATTTTTATTTAGATAAAAATTTTAATTTTAATTAAATATTAATAAAATTAACATCCAATGATTCATAAATAAAAATAGTACTTTGAATATATTTCGTTTTCCATGACTAATAATATTCAACTTCTAGAACTGGCGAATTTCACCGTACCTACTGCTACACGCCTAATTAAGGGAAGTCTTCCATGTAGAGAGGTTTCATATCTGGTTACTATAAATTCAACTCTCCGACGGCAAAATATATCATTCAATAATACTTTCCCTCTTTCTCAATCTTTTTGCCTCACAACAAACTTGAAAACAGCTTGGGTGTGATCTCATCTTAGAAAAAAAAAATGGCTAAGGATCTGATGCATGCTGTTCAATATAGTAAATACGGAGGAGGAGCTGCTGCTTTGAAGGTATTCTACATCCTTCTTTGATTGTGTTTTTTTTTGTTGCTTCTTTTTTTAATTACTAATATTTTATTAATTTTCGGGTTCAAAAGTTGAAATAAAAGGAAATAACTTTTTTCAAGTTTAAAATGGATTATTTTTAATGTATTGCTTATATTGATAGAGGGCGGGGAAGGGTTTTAAAGTGGGCTTTATACTTGAAGCGTTAGGATCAAAATTTTTATATTACTTAATATGTAAGGATCCAAACATTTAATTTGAATCAAATTATTATTAGATGTTTATGAATTCTAAAAAATCATTTTTACGGAAATATGTGCATATCACCGCGGGTGACATCTCGAAATATGCTGCGGTGACATATCAATTTTTTGCACATGTCTGTGGCTCATCGTTACAGCCGCTGCCGCCGCTGACGCTGCTCTTCTGATTCCTCCCTACTTCGCTCCATTTTTATTTCTTTTCTCTTCTGTTTGGATCAAATCCCCTTTACTCTCTATCAAATTCTCCCCTTCCTCTCCCTGGATTGAAAACCCCTTTGTGTCTTCTCTCTCTTTTTTCTAGTAGTTTATGTTTTTCACTTATTTGCCGAAACCCTTTTTTCCTGGTTTACACCTCCTGCTCCCGCTGCGCCGCCTTTCACCGCTCCTTCGTTCCTTCGCGATCGCCACTCGGGATCCATCCGCTTGCTAGTTCCCGAATTTCTATTTAATTGTTTTGCTTTTTTTTTCTAAATTTCAGAAAATTTGTAGGGTTTAGATACCAGTTGAAATCGAAAAGGGACAAGAATTTTGGTTGTTTATTAAGTTCGGGTTTTGAGGTTTGAGTCCCAAAAGCCTAACTGATTCTTGGGTTTGGTATCGGGAGGTTTGAGTCCCAAGGCCTAATTGATTCCTTCACCATATGTCAACCTTAGTTAATTTAATTGTACTACACTTATTTGTTTGCTTAAAATATCTTTATTTGCTTTTTTTTTTTTCAAATACCGTTATTTGTTAGTAGATCCATACATCAACGGGTAGGGTTGAATTCCGGTCGAATCTAAATAGGGTATTAAAAAGTTTTAACTTCATTCAAGTTCGGTGTGGCTTGAAATATGGATTTTTTTGTTGCCAAGTTCGATTTATTTTTTAAAAATTCTGCTCAATTCTACTAATATTTTTATTTTTTTAAAATAAAAAATAAAATAATTTTTTAATAAATATTAATTATGATAAAATAAATAATTAATAAAATAAAGATTAACAAATATTTTATTAATTTAATTTGATGCTTGAATGTGTTTAGTAATATGTGCATAGGATATTAATGTATATATATTATTTATTTATTTTTATATAATATAATATAAATATACTTAAAAAATATATAATGGTTATTTAGGTTAGGCTCATGCCTAAAATTTCATATTCAAACCTGACATACTTTTAAAACGAGTCTAAATTTATTTAATGAGCTTAAAATTTATATTTAAATTTTCTTAAATTTTGAGTGAAATTTTCAATTGAAATTGATAATTTGATCTTTAAACAAATCTATTTATTAGAATTCGAAAACATTTAATTTTGATTTCTCAAATTAAAGGGTTGTTTGGGATTGTTTCTTATTTTTTACTTCCTGTTGTCAAAAAATTTGTTTTGATTTGTTTTCAAAATTTTGAAAACATAAAACATGTTCTAGCAAGTAATGTTGTTACATACTAAAAACAAATATTATTGTTTCAAATATAATATCATTTAAATAATAGTATAATTAAAAAATTAAATACTATAATTAAAATATTAATTCAATTAATTTATAAAAAATTAATTTATAAAAAATTAAATATAGTTATTTAATATTAAAATTTGTTACATAGTAATACGAGCTAATGTAATTGTAAAATATATTCAATAATAATGTGTCTTAATGTAATATTAAATATTATATAATATTTTAATTAATATTTAATATTATATAAATATTTTATTTTTAATGATAATTAAATAAATATTATATTTAATAATATTAAATAATAATATTTAAATAAATATTTAAAATCGAATATTTAATGTTAAATAATATTTGATTTTTGTGTGAGCAATCGGATTAAAGTTTGATCTTAAATTAAACATTTTCTTCGATTTTGGAAAGGTTATATGTATGGTCCATGAGGACCTAAAGTTTGTAAGAAATAGGATTTTAATTTTATACTTGACCTTTAAATCTTTAAAATTTTAACATTTAATTAGTAATAAATTTTGATCGAATGCAACAATGCATTGAAAAAGAGGATAAAAGTAACTCAAAACTTATCTAAATCACTTTTAAAATATAATATTTAATAAATAAAATATTCAAATTTTAATACTTCCAAACATTTACTTTATTTTTAAGCTTGGAAATCAAATAATTTGAAAAGTTTACAACAGGAGTTTGGAATATTTTAAAACTAATTGAACAAATTCAAAGGTTTGGTCAAAAGTATGCTTCTCTCACATGTTTTTGACCAGTCTTCTTTGAATTTCTTCTTTGAATTTGTTACCTGTGACGGTTAGTTTCAAAAGGTTCCAATTTATTTTAGCCATCTTTCAAAGATTCAAACTTTTACTTTTTCATCCTTTCAGACATTTGTAAGCCTATGGAGCTGGAATTTTTAGAATGGAAAGAAAATAACGGTCAAGTTCGGGATTTGCTCTTAGCCGGGGCTGAGAAAAAAATATAAAAGAAAATTTTAAATCATAATTTTGATTTTATTTCAGTTGGTTTTTTATTTAATTTATATTGTAAATATATATTAGATTTAAATCGAATTTTGAGTCAAAAAATAAAAATTAAGAAAAAATCAAATCAAATTATATATTTTTATTAATTTTTTATAAAATAATAATAATAATTTTATATCAAAATTTATTTAATATATTAAAGTTTTATATTTAAATAAAATATAAAAACAAAAAAAATTTTAAAAATTAAAAAATCGAATCAAATCATTAAAATTCACATCGATTTGGATTAAATTATAAAAAATCAATTCGAATTCAACTTTTAATTAATAATTTATGAGATATTTAAAAAAATCAAACACAATCCAATTGTGCTCTTGTCACTCCTACTTAGGATTCAAATTTCTAAAAAGGGTCTGAGAATGAGAGGTTGACAGCAAAGTCGTAACATAATTTGCAAATGTATTTCCACCATTTCCCTGCTTTGATAAACTTCAAAAATTATTGCCAATGACATGATGTCATAACGGCTGTAAAATTTTTTCCTGTTGCAGCACGTTGAAGTTCCAATTCCCACTCCAAAAAAAGATGAAGTTCTGCTAAAACTGGAGGCAGCTAGTATAAATCCAATTGACTGGAAAATTCAGAATGGGATGTTGCGGCCATTTTTACCAAGCAAATTCCCCTTCATACCTGGTAGTTTACTGTTCTCATGTGACTGTTTCAATTTTTTAGTCTTCTTGAGATTCTTTATTTTACTTCCTGAGTGGTATTTGTATTTATTTGACATTATCAGTTAAGTCTTTTAAGTTACATCTGTCATCCAAATCTGTGTTTTTCTTACTATGTCAATTTTCCAAGCAGTGCATTCTGAATAATGATTTGTTTAATATCCTCTGGATGGTTCAACACAGTAATATAATTTGCATCAGTGTTCATTTGTGGATTGTGCTTTGGTGACTTGGTTCACTATCTATATCATTTGTAAACTATATTAAAAGTAGCCAACTTTAAATCATCAGTAAGCATTGCAGTTTTCTTTCTGCTAATATTTTGATTGCATCTTTTCAATCATTGACTAAAGAACTTTTGTTGGAGCAGGTGGCGATGTAGCAGGAGAAGTCGTAAAGGTTGGACCAGGAGTCACGAATTACAAAGCTGGGGATAAAGTTGTGGCTGTACTTGCTGTAAGTTGTCATTCTTATTCTTCATTTTTCCTTGTTCAAATTGTCTATCAGCATAGCAATCTATCGACCTCGTTCTCCACTGAAGAGACAATATGATTTCTTATTAATGGGAATGATTGGCTATTTTTGGATACATGCTGTAGGGTAGTATGTCACTGATCATTCTGAGAATAATCGGAAAAAGATAATTCTTCATGACGAGTGGAAGAAATGGTAGAAGCACTAGCAATGTACTAGCATAATAGATAAAGATTTGGATAGTAGTTGATGTCATTTGTGTTTTTAGGTCTTAGCCCGCCCCAAGCAATTAATTGGGTGCTGAAGTGGTTTAGGACTTGGGTGCAACCCCAATAAGTCTCGGAAAAAAAAATTGGCATTCCTTGTAGCCAAATAATCCACTTCAGAATCCACGATGGAAGACTAGTATTAAATCATAGACGCTTATAAAGTACTTTCATGCTAGCATTTGTTGGTTCAAGCTATAGGAACATCCCAGGCCCCAGATTTTTTGCAGCTTCCTACTTTTCATTTTGAGTCGTATCATGTTTTAAATGCAAGTATCTTGACACGACTATCATTTCCGAGGAAGTGATTTTAGCATCACTATGTGAGGCATTTGGCTGTGGTATGGTGATTCTATCTTGTGCTTATTTTATCCTCAATTCAGCGTCATTTATGTCAATTTGCTATGGCCATTTATATCCTGAATATATTTTGCAATGACAGAGTGGAGGTGGACTAGCTGAATTTGTTGTGGCTAAGGAGAGTTTGACAGTTGCAAGGCCTCCAGAGGTATCAGCTGCTGAAGGTGCAAGTTTGCCTGTTGCTGGCCTTGCAGCTCACCAGGCACTCACCCAGTGTGCTGGGGTCAAGCTTGATGGAAGCGGCCAGCAAGTAAACATCCTGATTACTGCCGCTTCTGGTGGCGTAGGTCAATATGCAGTTCAACTGGCAAAGCTTGGAAACACACATATTACAGCCACTTGTGGGGCTCGTAACATGGATTTAGTCAAGAGCCTGGGGGCTGATGAGGTTCTGGACTACTGGACTCCTGACGGGGTGGCTCTGAAGAGCCCTTCTGGTCGCAAATACGATGTAGTGATCCACTGTACAACAGGCATTCCTTGGTCTACCTTTGATTCTAATTTGAGTGCAAATGGGAAGGTAGTAGATACGACTCCTGGTCTCGGTTCTTTGATGAGTGTAGCTCTGAAAAAGCTTACATTCTCCAAGAAACAGCTGGTACCACTATTTATGATACCTAAGAAAGAGAACCTTGAGTATCTTGTTAAGTTGGTGAAAGAAGGAAAGCTTAAGCCAATAATTGATTCAAAGCATCCTCTAAGCAAGGCTGAAGACGCTTGGGCCAAGAGCATTGATGGCCATGCCACTGGGAAGATTGTTGTGGAGCCTTAGTTTATGAAGATTACTTGATACTTACAGTAGTTTTATACAATTCAGTGAGTGGGGTTGCTTATGAGCATGTTTATATTCATAAGTACTCAGTATTTTGAACAATGCAAACGATGGATGTGAGTTTGTCTTGTCTTTTGCTGTTAATTTAAAGAATGATGTGTGGAGGTCATGTTGCTGAGTGCTGTTTATTATTATCGAATTTAAAATAATTTGTTTAATGTGTTCAAATTGCAGATGATGCTATGGATAATTAGGATTTGTGAATTTTGATTTTTGAAAATAATAATAAAAATGTTTATGAAATGTATGTTTAAGATTACAATCTGGATGTACAGCAGCAGGGGTTTGCAACAGTAACTGGAACATTGGTTTATAAAAATGACCAGGCTACGTATGAAGCCTGACGATGCCATTTGGATACTTAGATGTATCAAACGTTTGAGCACCATAGGAGTTAAGGACTGGAGGGAGAAGAGGAGAAATCCTTTCTCTCAAAATCCCTTCAATTTGAAGGTTCTGAAAACAATAGTTTTAGAAGGTTCTAAAGTGACTGGTAAAAGAAAAAAAAAAGGTTCTAAAGAGATATCTCTTCTTTTATAAAATTAATCAAATGGGCGAATTTAAGACCGATCTCAAAAAAATTTGACTCCATTTAATATAGAACTTTTTTTTTTTTTTAATTTGATTCACTGTTGAACTTCAGAAAAGCCCGCTCTCCCAAGTCTCAACTATCTCCTTTTCTTCTCTTAACAGTTCATGGCAATTCTCCTAGTAAAAATACTTCACTTTCCTTTCTAGTTATCTCCTTTCTCTAAACTTTCTCCTTTTTTTTTTCTGGCATGTTTCTCAAAAGATGCATTGTCCAACTCCCCTGCGGGTCGCCTTCGCTTAACTCAGTTTCCTTCCTTTCCTCTTACAACCAAACAACAGCCGTAGTACTAACCCCACAGGACACGGCTCATCGTACTTCATCTTTAATCAACCAACCGAACTGGAAAACAAACTTAACCCTCAAATCCTTAGTTTCCCACATGAACCCCAACGTCGCTGCCCAGGTTATCCTTCTCCAAAACAACAATGTCTCACTTGCTTTCAAATTTTTCCAGTGGGTTTGTCAACACTCCACTTATTGCTACGATACGACTAGTAGAATCCACCTCTTAAAGTTGCTCGTATCCTCCAATTCATTTCAAATTGCTCATAAGGCTATAATTGAACTAGTAAAAAATTGTAGTAACAATGAAGACGATCTTTTGAAGCTAATGGGAGCGCTTGATGAGGTGAGGGAGACCGGCTTTCGCTTAAATTACCCTTGTTTTAGCGTTCTTTTGGCGTCTTTAGCTAAGTTAAGTATGGGGTTTTTAGCATTTTTGGTTTATAAAAGAATGGTCGCTGAAGGCTTTGCTCTTAGTGCTATTGATTATGGAACGATGATCAATGCTTTATCCAAAATTGGTTTTGTGTGTCAAGCTGAAATGTTCATGTCCCAAGCTTTGAAGCTTGGGTTTGAATTGGGTACTCATATTTGCACTTCTTTAGTCTTAGGTTATTGTCGACAAAATTATCTCTGGGAAGCCTTCCGGGTGCTTGATGTAATGTCGAGGCCAGATGGTTGTGGAGCGAATTCAGTTACTTACTCTATTTTAATACATGGTTTATGCGAGATTGGGAGAGTTGAAGAAGCATTTGCTTTGAAAGAAGGGATGAAAGAGAATGGTTGCCAGCCGACTACTCGGACTTATACTGTGTTAGTAAAGGCTTTATGTGATGATGGATTGATTGGTACGGCTTTGGATTTGGTCGGTGAGATGATTGGAAAAGGATGTAAGCCTAATGTTTATACTTATACTGTTTTGATTGATGGGTTATGCAGGGAAGGGAAGATTGAGGAGGGTAATGGGATGTTTAGGCAGGTGGTAAAAGGGGGTGTTTATCCAGGGATTGTAACATACAATGCACTGATTAATGGATATTGTAAGGAAGGGAAGATTGTTTCTGCTTTTGAGCTTCTTAGTGTGATGGAGAAACGAAATTGCAAGCCTAATATCCGTACCTATAATGAGCTTATTGAAGGGTTGTGTAGAGTTAACAAACCTTATAAAGCAATGCTCCTTTTGGGGAGGGTTATCAATAATGGCTTATTGCCTAACAGTGTAACTTATAATATTCTGATTGATGGTTTCTGTAGAGAAGGCCATTTTAACATGGCTTGCCAGATATTTGAATTGATGAACTCATTTGGAGTTGATCCTGATGCTTATAGTTTCACTGCTATGATTGATGGGATGTCCAAACAAGGGAGACTGAAGCCCGCAAATGGGCTGTTGTGTAAGATGATAAAGAAGGGAATAGAGCCTGATGAAGTAACATTTACTGCACTTATTGATGGGTTTTGCAAGATTGGTAATACTGGGGATGCATCAAAGCTTTTCAAGATGATGATTGCTAATGGTTGTTTGAAGACTTGTCATGCATTCAACTCAATTCTTCATGTTCTGAGCAAAGAATGCAAGTTGGTAGAGGAATATGCATTATTTGGAAAGATACTAAAGCATGGCTTACTTCCTTCTGTTGTGACTTACACAATATTAGTAGGTGGACTTTTTCAAGCAGGCAAGGTTGACCAGTCCTTGAGCATGATGGAGCTAATGAAACAAGTTGGCTGCCCTCCAGATGTGTACACATACAATGTCGTGGTTAATGGCTTGTGTCAAATTGGAAGATTTGAGGATGCAGAGAGAATGCTGGATAACATGTCCGGTATAGGAGTACCTCCAAATTATGTCACATACACTATATTGGTCAAAGCACATGTTTACGCTGGCAGGTTAGATTGTGCCCTTGATATTATGTCTATTATGGTTAAAAAAGGATATCAACCCAACAGTCGTATCTATTCCGCTCTTTTAGCAGGATTCATTTCATCAAACAAGGCCAATAAAGCAGGAGACTCCAGTTTTATCAGTCTCCTAGATGTGAGCTCACCACTTACTGCGGAAAATTATGAAGAATTTGTTTCCAGTAATGTTCTAAAGGAAATGGAACTTGAGCATGCGTTTAAGCTCCGGCCTGAAATCGAGAAATTCAGTGGGTCCGTCTTGGAATTTGACAATTTTCTAATTACAGGCTTATGCAAAGTGGGAAGAATTTTAGATGCTGAAAATCTTACCAAAGATATATTGAAACATGGTTTATATCCTGACAAGGCATGCTTTTCTGTCATTGATTGGCATTCAAAGAACAGCAACTGCAATGAGTGCCTTGAGTTCCTGGATCTCATTGTCAGTCATGGTTTCCTTCCATCTTTTCAATCTTATTGTTCAGTGATCCACTGTATGCGTACCAAAGGAAAGACCAAAGAAGCTCAAAGACTGCTTGCTGACCTCATGAAATACAATAATATTGGAGAGGCAAGTGCAGTGTTACCTCATATTGAGTTCCTAGTAAACAGTGATGAACCTGAAAAATGCACAGAGCTTCTAAAACTGATTGAGCAAATGGCTAGCAGGGAGAGGCCAGTCATCTAGTTTATGCTCCTTTCCTTCTCCCTTGACATCATTGCTTATCTGAAGTTAGGAACTCCCAGACTAGCTAGAGGAGAAATACATTTAATGGTTAGTCCCAGATTTTTTGGATAGCTTGTCAGACTCACCATAAGAACCAGATTCACAACAGGAATACCAGGTGAAATCTAGATCATACTCACAATTTTTTTTTTCTTTCCATGTAAAAAGCTTACCCTAAGGTCGTTTTGTAACTACTGAAAGTGAAGCCATATGTATTTAAGTAGGAATGTAGTTGGGAAAATTTTTGCTCCCAATTGGATCTAAAATGTAAAGCAATATTTGTCATATGTCAGACAACATGGATAAATGTTGGTTTATGTCTATCCAGATCTTGGACTCCTCTTAACTCTATCAATTAGTATGATATATGAGGAGTTTCAATAACTACTATTTCTCAATGAAATGTTTGGAATACAATTAACATTATTTCAAGTTTCTTTCAATAAACATGAAACTTACTGCTTTGGGGGGTTTTCAATTATATATATATATATATATATATATATCCGTGTAAAAGGTTTCGCATCTGAAAAGGTAATGATAACTCTTCAATAAAACTATGAAAACTACAACTTTCGAGCAACAAAAATGAGAGTTCAAATGTTCAATCCATACTTAAACAAAAAAAAAAATGTTCAATCCATGAAAATCACGTGTGAAAACTGGAAATTTTGATTATCGTGTTTTTTAAAATAGCACTGATAAATTCTAGAAAGTAAAAGTATATTGCAAACTTGCAAATCTTTTTTTTAAAGCAAAGAGAGGTTTTTGAATTTTATTAAATATATTTTTTACATCGATTTAAATAAATTTATTTAGATGAAATTTAATAAATTCATGATAAATTATTTTTTATAATGTCTCAATAAATTCAATTTCAGACAAAAAAAAAAAAAACTCTCTCATTTGAAGTTTAAATTTGTAATCATATTTGACTTATCATGCATATATATATATATATAAGATATTAATCAAGGGCGTGAAAAGTGCTTGTTGAGAAATTAAACTCAGAAATTGATTTTTTTTAATGAAATTGTATATTACGGGTGCCCATTTATTCCGTTTCTAGAAGTTCTATGAGATCAACGTGTCAGCTGTTAACCATCAAAGCATGAATGTGCTATGCTACTACGGCTGCAACTCAAATCCCCAAGAGGAACGATGCTTAATTTCCACGGACAAGAACGCCCATACGCTTGTCCTTTATTGACGCTTAAGTCCCGCGCTAGATGCACACATTTAAGTAACCGTCCACGTCAATCCTTATCCATCCATTGAGGGCAATCTCGTCAAAAATGGCACTCCCGTAATATACCAAGTAGTTGAGAATATTCTAGTAATTCCATTCAAAAAGAATATTATATCTGGACCACCTCCCTTCCCCACCACAACCAAACATCGTTCCTCGTTTCAACTTTCATTTTTTAAAATAAATCTAAAAAGAGATATAAAACGATAATTATCTTTCTTTTTTTAAATAAAAATATTTTAATATTATTATTCTATTGTCTTTGGTTTCTTCTCCTTCGCATCTTCCGTGGAATTCTCTCTCTTATCGCTTCTCCAGTAATCTTAATTTTTCTCTCTCTCAAGTTCTCTCTCTCTGAAACTCATTCCTTTGCCTTGGTTTAAACGACATCGCTTATACATTGGCGATCTGTTTCTATTTCTTGCTTCGTAAGATAGTTTTTGTTAACACCTTGGTATTCGAAGGTGCGTTTAATCTCTCTCTTTCTCCCTATGTGTCCGCTTCTTTGAAAAAATTGTGTAATTTTGTGAATTCGAAATTGTTGTTTCGATATTTGTTTTTTCTGAGCTGTGTTTTTCTTTCACATTGGAATGTGGTTGGAGTTTTCGTCTTAGTTACTGTTTGTTTTCCGATAAAACGGAGAGTTAAAAGATTGCTGAAAGTTCTCAATATTTCATATCAATTTAGCTCTATTGTTAATATAAAAGTGGTAAAAGAAAAGGAGACTAATTCAAATTCGGCTATGCCGAGTACTGGTGTTCGTGTGATTAGAAATTCATAGTTGTAGATTTGCATATTCCATTTTTTTAATAAAAAGAAAAATACGGGCCTTTTTCTCGGTGAGGAAATTGAAAGTATTGTTGAATATATATATTTTTGGCCAAGCATAGATAGCTACTTGCATCCTTGTTTTAATTTCTAATTTTTCAATTGCATCCTTTTTAGATGATTTATTTTATTATTTTGGATTTAAATTGATTTGATTTATCTGCTTCGGCTATCGAAAATCGAGGACTTCACTCAGCAAGCTGGCTCTTTTTTTTTTTTAAATGTGTGTTATAATTGTATTAGGTGCAAATTTTAATTTTATGGCTAAGCTGTTAAAAATCAATGGATGAATGACTTTACATGCGGCCATGTGGAAGATCTGATTGAATTTGCTGATGTATTTCTTGTGAAACTCTTCTTGTTTGGAAATCCAGAGGCCTCATTTGTTAAAGAACACTTTGTTTGATTCATTTGTAAAAACGGGTAAGGAGGGAAAGTCCCATGTTGGCATGTGTGTTTCTGACCACATAAAAATTGATCCATGGTCCTCCGTTCACATTTCTTTCTATGTTTAAACCACCTTGTTCGAATCTCTTTGGACAGAATTATGTTTTACATTTTTGGTATACAAGCCTCATAAAGGCTGAGTCCACTTATTGCTGTCCGGGTAATATGCTTGTCTGTTTTCTTTCTTTAGATTATGATTTATTACAAACAATTTAGTTTTGTGAGTTATATTGATTTTTGGTGATTGTTTACAGCCCAGCCCTGGTTTTTGATCTATGGGGAATCATTTAAGTTGTGTGTAAAGAAAATGGATCGATCCATGAAACTCAACTCTTGTACTGAAGTTCTATTGGAGGTCTCAAAGACTTGTTGGTTTTAGATGATACGAGCTGGCCGCAGCTTGTAGAAGCTGCTTTTGAGAATGTTGATAATTTTCCAGCTGATATTCGATCATTCTTACAATGACAAGTCTGTTCCTGTCAACATCATACATTTCATGCTACAGTTTAGCACTAAACCATGTATGCAAGCTAGTGATCAAGCCTATGTCGATACAGTAGACATCTCTATTTGGAGGTTGTTAGAAGTGCATTGACAAATTGTTGATTGTCATCTGCTACAACTTCAATAATGGAAAGGTTAGTGTCTTGTGTCTGCTCTTAATATTGGTAAGTTTGTCAAGTTTTCATTTTAACTCTTGTATCATTTTGGCACTATATCTTGTTACTTCGTTTTATTTCACTTAGGTATAAAATTTTGGAGGAGCTTGGAGATGGTACCTGTGGTAGTGTGTTCAAGGCCTTCAATATAGAAACATTTGAGATTGTAAGGAACTTTTACTCCACTAGCTGCTTTTCACCTTTCAGTTTACATAACTACATAATTTCCTTTTATTTGTCATTAAGATATGTTCTTGTGCCCATTTTATACTTCTCCTATGGTTGAAGTTTCTCAATGATAAATGTTATATTCTTTGCTGGATTTAGAAAATTTCTTTTTCCATGGAGGGAAATACACAAAAATCACTTCCATTTGTGACAAGCTGGATATTTGTACATTGGTCTCATTTGGTAATTGAAATTACCTTAATGCCTTGGAGATAGCAAATAATGAATATAGGATCGATTTTAAAGTTACTTTGTGAGCTTGAATGATTCGGTGAAACCTATATTTTTACTTGGTCAATCCTTCATCTACCGGTACTAATTTTTGGCAGTTACTTTAAATTTTATATCTGAACCTCAGTTGATGATCCCTAATTCTCTATGCACCTGGCCGTGTATGTCACCCACCCCCATACCACCCCCTTGTAGGACGGGGTTGGCAAACAATTTGAGCTGTCTATTACAAGAAAAGTTAAGATGAGATTTTAAAGCTCTAAATCCTGTGGGCATGCAATGTATGATATGTATCTCTTTACCTGAAACGTTGATTTTTAAGCAGTAGAATATTGGGTTGGTTGGATATATGCCTGCATGAGATATTAGAGCACATATACATATAAGAGTAGTCCTTCAAGTTGAAACTTAGACCATATTATGTGCGTGTATATATATATATATAGAAACAAGGTTAGAAATCTTTAAGAGCTGAATAGAAAGAATATTGGTTTGTGTGGTCTTTCAAAAAATTTGATGTAGTTGGTTCACATTGGAAAATGATGTCTGGTGTTATTTCACGTCAATGAATTTAAGAGCTGAATAGAAAGAATATTGGCTTGTGTGGCCTTTCAAAAAATTTGATGCAGTTGGTTCGCATTGGAAAATGATGTCCGGTGTTATTTCACGTCAATGAGGGTTCATCAACTATGACAATGGTCATTAGGATGACCTTGGATTAGAAACCTCAACTCAGTCTATTACGGGTGGTTGACTTGAAATATTTTTTTTCCTGTTTATACTCCTTTTAAAGTTTCACCAAGATAATAGTGAATTTACTAAATGTGAAAGTTCCTTGAGTTGTTGTTCCTTATTGCTTTTGTAAATGTTTTCAATCTAGGTTGCTGTAAAGAAAATGAAAAGAAAGTTCTACTTCTGGGAAGAGTGCATGAATCTAAGAGAAGTTAAGGTATGCCATGATATTTCCTTGAACGTTTGAGTCCTTTGCTTTTTACCTAAGCCTTAATTAGGAGAGCATGTTCCATTTATTGTGTATCATTCATTCCATACACACATTTTCTTGTTGGTATGAGTAATTTATTCTCTGCAGGCCCTTCGTAAGCTAAATCACCCTAATATTGTAAAGTTAAAGGAGGTTGTCAGGGCAAACGATGAACTATTCTTCATTCTTGAATTCATGGTAAGGGCACTTTTCCAACTTCACATTATTAGTCAGTGAAAGCATGAGATTTTAAAATTTTATCTTCCACCTAAATATTGTATTTTCACTCTCTGAAATTATAATATTTTGTTGCTTTATTTTCATCATTTTGGGTCAATACAAAGCTTGGGAATATGACTAGGATTAGTTTGGAGCTAGTAACTTGGAGGGGACTAGTCCATGTCTTAGTTACAAATGCAGTTTGTAATTTCCTAAGCTGGTGCTATTCTACTGGGGATCTGTTCATTTAACTACAATGTTTTAAGCTTGTTTAAAACTTGGAAGGTGAGCCTTTCTTTCAGCAAAACTATGTATGGTTGACTTTTGAAGCATTCTGTAATTGATTTCAGTGAAAGAATTGTTCAGATACTTGTTCTGCTCCTCCCCATCTCCCAAACACAAAAAAAAAAAAAAAACCATCCACTTTTGATTTTTCTGTTCAACAAAATATCATGGTTTCTTTCAATGATAAAGGTTTCAACAAGTGGCTGCGTTTGCCTGCTGATCTTCTCACTATTGACTGTATCTCTTTCCTCGTAACGATACATTGGTTGTGTACTTCTGTGTAATTCATAAACTGGCTTATTTTGATTTCAACTGTATGTAATTAATAGTGTGATATATGATTTATTGTAAGCAAGCATGAAGTTGAATGAAATCCTTTTCACTTCATTTGGTAAGAGCTTGATTTAACTTCTTTCTAGGAACATAATCTTTACCAAATCATGAGAGAGCGACTAAGACCTTTTTCCGAAGGGGAGATACGCAACTTCATGTCTCAGATGCTGCAAGGACTTGCTCACATGCATAGAAATGGATATTTTCATCGAGATTTGAAACCTGGTAAATGTTCCTGTCATGTCTGTGCATTATGTAAGTCGTTTTTGCACATTGAATGGTGGATATCTTTATGGTATCATATTTGCTTTTTCCAGAGAACTTGCTAGTGACAAAGGATGTTCTCAAAATTGCTGATCTTGGACTGGCAAGAGAAGTATCATCAATGCCTCCTTATACAGAATATGTTTCTACACGGTGGTGAGTAATTATGGAGTGGTTTATCGTATTTACTTTGCATTTGTTTTTGTTTATGTTAACACAATGTAGCAATATGGGTGCAATCTCACTGATTACTTTGTAATTCTATCTTGTTCATGCATGTTTAGTTTTCTCATGTAGTGAATTGTGGGTTAATTATGTCAGGTACCGTGCTCCAGAAGTCTTGTTGCAGTCTTCCTCTTACACTCCTGCAATTGGTATGTGGATACGACTTGATTTAAGTCTGTGTGCGTGTGTGTGTGTACATGTGCTCATCTTCTTCTAGTAACTTTTATGGTGTTGTGGGACCAATCCAGAACTTCACTTATATCAGATAATGTATTTTCCATGTCAACTTGATTTATTGAGCTTTTCTTTCTTGCCACTAAATGTGATTGTTTGAGATTTATCTATATCATGGTTTGTTTTGCTTGAATGATGTCTGATAATGGTAGCATTTACAGATATGTGGGCTGTTGGTGCAATATTAGCAGAGCTTTTCACTTCATCTCCTATTTTCCCTGGTGAAAGGTGATTTATTATTTCAAGTTTTTCTCTTTTTAATCTTGGTGGAGGACAATGTAAATTAAGGCAATCCTTTTGTGCTTGCAAATGCACACAAGCAATGCAAATACTTTTATATCCAACATATATTCTCTAACCACAGTGCCCCAAATACTATGTAGTGTATACTACTTCAATATATTCCTCAAATTTTTGCTTTCAACTTTTAGTCTTTATAAAATTTCCTATGATATAGAGTTGGTATGTCAGCAGACGCTTGACTCAGGTAATTCTGTTGGATCTGTAGTGATGATTGCTAATGTTGATAATTTCAATGGCTTAAAGTTACTAGTTTGATCGATCATCTGTAACCTATAACCTAACTATGTATGCCAAGAAAAAACAAACACAACGTGGTTGATCTTGGTTTGTTCTAATGTTGTTTCTGTTCTACTTCATAATTATTGGTCCTTTAGGCACTTTTACCCTAAACCAAATTGATCCTACCTACATACGCATATCTATGGCCCTTTTTACCTATGGACAAAATATGGTGCATAAATTTTCTCATATTGCCCTTGGTCCATACCTCTGTTGCTGTTTTATAGATACTGTTATGTGTATGTACATGAATACATGTGGTTGCATGCATGGGTTGGGATGCATAATTATAGATTTTAAGGTATATTTGTTACTCTTCTGCATAATAGTCTTGGCAGTGCTATGATCCTAAGATATTGAGGACTGTTATGTGTATGTACATGAATGTGCAAGCTTTGCACCCATGGGAGGGGATGTGTAACTATAGATATTGAGGAAGGTATATTTGTTATCCTTCTGTGTGATAATCTTGGTAATGCTGTGATTCCCAGAACATTTCTTCACTTGCCATGCAAGTTTTAATATGCCTTTATCTACTATTTTTATTCTTGTTTGCTATTGGTTCAGAATACATAACTTGTGCAGTTTTGCTATTTAACTTCTGCCACTGAAGTAAAAGAAAGATATATCAGAACTTGTAAGGATTTTTTTCTTACGGTAATACTCTCACCTCTTGCCAGTGAAATAGATCAACTGTATAAGATATGCTGTGTTCTGGGTGCTCCAGATTGGACTTCTTTTCCTGAAGCAACAAACATCTCTCGTCTAATCAATATTAGCTGTTCAGAGGTAAGTTTTTTTTTTTTTTTTTTTTTTTTTTCTATTTACTAGTTATCTATTATCTGCTAACTATTTTTACCTTTGCTCTTATTTTATTTTAATTTATCATTACTTTTGGGCAGATTTTACCTACCAACCTATCAGATATCATTCCCAATGCCAGCTCAGAGGCTGTTGATTTAATCATGGTGTGTATTGTGGTTGACTAGCATTTAACAAAGTGGCATTTGCTGTACTATAATATCTTACACTCCCTGCTTTTAACTGTCTGTAGCAACTTTGCTCATGGGACCCATTAAGGAGGCCAACGGCGGATCAGGCATTGCAGCATCCTTTTTTTAATGTAATATATGTCTTCTGGAGTTATTTTCAGGTTTCTATTTGTATTAGATCAATCTTACTAAAAAATCCTGGACAGGTGGCTGCATGTGTTCCTCATCCACTAATGCATGATCCACTTGAGCTGAGGCTAAACAACATGGGTGAGTTTTGAAGTTTGCTACTAGTTCCCATGTGAGACTGATCAATAACATTTTCTATTCTCCTTTTTTATGTTTCAGTCTATTAATTTTTTCTTGCACTATTCTGCAGGGGCGAAGCCAAATCTTGAGTTGAGTCTATGGGATTTCAACACTGAACCTGATGATTGTTTTCTGGGCTTGACACTTGCTGTAAAACCAAGTGTTTCAAACTTAGGTAATATTGTTGTACCTCCTGTGTTTGTAGTTCAGTGGACTGGTTACTTTTGTTAGCTACTGATGCCTCTCAAATTTAGTCACTGAACTGCATAAATACATGTGGCATGGGCAGGCATCTTTTCATCTTCTTCTGGGTGATTGTGAAGGAATAGGAGAGTGGTGTCTTAGAACTTAGGATTTAGTGCCTACCTCGAGTAGTTGGCGAGGCAGAGGTTAAGGCATTCATGGAAGAGATGGAAGTAGATGAACCTAGAAATAGAGTCTGCTATTATATTCTGCAAGCTATGTAGTTCTCCTCTTGACCAACTGAATATGCTTTTCCATGTTATATTTTAAAACTATGTCAGCACTAATCCAGAATTGATATCTGCTTTTGAGCATCTTCAATAAAAACATCTTTGATCATGAAGGTCATTTACTTGTTTTTTATGGATAAATTTTCATTTATTGGAACATTTCTTGTGTATAATCTTTCTTTTAATTCTATTCTGCCCTGTCTAGTTGAAGGATTTACTTTTACTTTTACTTTTTTTTTTTAATAAGTATATTGCTCATATTTCCTTTCCTGCAGAGGTGGTCCATGATGTCTCTCAAGGAATAGAGGAGGTGAGTTTTGCAGTCTAGGTTCAGCAAAGTTGCTCTTGGGTATTGTACATCTTTGATGTGTCAGATTTTTTACCATCACAGATATGGCTAACTGCTGAACTTCATGATGCAGGATTTACTGTTTTGTCCTAGGTTGGAAGATCATCCAGAGCAATCAGGTAATTCATATGATGCTCAAATATCCTCCAGAAACAGAGGCTAGGGAAAGGGGAAGTGGTGATAGCAATGCATAAAGAAATTTTGTATGAGAGATAGATCTTTGTTATGAACGTTAATCTGGATACCATTCTTTATTTGAGTTAATGCTACCAGCTTGTTGAACTTTCCAGAAATTACACTGTTCTCCAGTTGTTTCATTTGCCCTTTCTTCTTTGTTTAGACTTTAGTGTTTGCCGCTAATGGGCTGTGGATTCTTTTCATTCCAGTTTTTTGGTCATTGCTTACTCCTGATCAAAATGGAATTCATGCACCAGTTGAATCCTCCTTGTCTCTCTCGTTCAGGTGAGTTCATTCATCTAGCCTCGCTCATGTTAGCAGTGGTGCATGTGGTGGCTCTAGCATTAAGGTATTGTTGTATTGATACTTTTAACCATATGTGAAAAGTAGTTTTTGTCATGCCCTTGTTCTGCATATGCTGTTATTAAATTATATATATATATATATTTTATGGCTGGCTTGATGTGATATTCCCCCTTATTTTGGGGGGAAATTTTTAAATGGCAGTTCGATTCAGAATACACCAATTGGAGTTCCACAATCTACTGGATTCGCAATCACATCATTGCAGCCTAACCTTTTAGAACGGCAATTGTTGGCTGTGTCCTCCCCCTTCCACCTTTGACCGAGTTGAGTGGATAAATCTAATAAGGGGCTGTAGAGAACATTTATAATTTATTTCATTGGTTTTCTGTAAAGTACCATTTGCACCCTCATAGCTGCCAGCATTGGTCTGGCAAAATCGGTGTCCTAGGTATGTAAGTTTTTAAGATTTCGTCATTTCAAAGTTATAGGAAATTACTCTTACAGTCAAAGTTGGCGCAATATTCATTTTGGTTAATGTACATTTTCTTCCATACGAATCTCTCTCACACAGTATGAATGTATGTATGCATGTGTAAATTTACGTAACAAAGGGAAAAAGTCTCATTCTGGAGCAAATCAGTGATAATGAATTTTCGAGTATATTCATAACAAAATTCTAATATTTGATGAAAAGCAGGCACTGATTTTTTCTCGGTTCTGGAAAACATGAAGATTTGATTGAATTATAAGGGCTCTATCTGGGCTTGGCTGGTGGAATAAAATCAAACTGTGAAAGCTGCCGAGTGTGGAGGATAGTAGTCATCGACAAGCCAGGAGGCCAGTAATAGGGAGTTTTGCATGACCATATAAACAAGATTTGCCAATGGAAACGCTAAGCCAGGACACAGCTTTTGATTACTACAGAAGATTAAATATCTGTATATAGAAAATTTGGTCTCCATAGATTATTGAGAAAAAAGTTTGCAGGAAAGAAATAAGGCAAAAAAAAAAAAGTCTAAAAGCCAACCAGAATTTGCATCATTCTTCAACAACTCCTTGACATTGACAGCTTCATAAAATGCATCAATTTAAAAAGGTCATGGAGGGGGTTTACGGTCTAATGCAGAGACATTTCTGGCCCTAATTGAACAGGAGTTGTTCTTTTTAGTTTTTAATTAAAGTCAATTGGTGGGATTGTCTACTCCCCAAGTTTCTAATTCTTCAGCAAGATAAAACATAGAGCAGCATTCGCCAACTACCAACAATTGAACCTTATCTAACCTGGACCCCCTCTTGGAGGGCATCCTAATGTAAATGCAGCGTTGTCAACAACCCGAAAACCTCAAGTACCCTCCCACCCCACCCCCCACCCCCCAAAAAAAAAAAGAAAGAGAGTAGCACTTTGGTGAGATCATGGCCATTAAATCAACAAGATATTAAAAATAGATTAAGATTCTAAGATCTAAATTTCTGACCATGCAGATTAGTAGAGAACAAAATAAAACTAAGAGTGTGAGAAAATAAAACCTTAATATTTATTTTTATTTTCCATGTTCTCAAATGGTGTTTAAATTTCAATTTCCTCCTCGTTACATAGAAGAGATCTTAAAAAAAAAAAAAAAAAGAAAGTATGACTCACCCCCGAAATTCTCTCGCAGAGGATTTATGCTACAGAGAGTAAGAACAGAAAAGAATCTCAATATCATGCATTCTTCGAATAAATGGAATTCCTGCCACCAAAAAAAAACTGGAACATTCCCAAGCTGCATTTTGGTAACCCATGAAGAGAGTATACGGTATGAATTATACCATTTGCTGCAAATGCTGCAGACTGAAAAAGTATGAAGTTGAGGCAAAGAATGACAAGATCTAGCTCTGAAAAAGAACTTCAGGTTATGACTACAATATTCCAAATATACTGTTTGGAATGGTCTGCAAAAACATAGCCCTAGCAGGAGGATCAGTTGAAAATCGACCCAGCACAGCAACAGTAGCTGTGTTACTGCCAAACTTCTCAATCCCTCTAGAAATCATACATGTGTGGTCAGCCTCCACAACTACCATGACATCTCCACCCAAGAGTGATGAAACCGTCTCTGCTATTTGCCTGGTAAGTCTTTCTTGCACTTGGAGCTTGAAACCATAAAAATGTACTATTGACTGCAAAAGGGACTTTCCAATGGGATTGAATCCTTCAGGGCAGAAGTAGCCAATATGGACTACACCATGAAAAGGAAGTAGATGATGCTCACACTGAGACCAGAATGAGAGGTTCAACTCTGAATGTATCTGTTCATTATTGCGGGAGGGTTCCACACTAGGTTTAAAAAGATCTGTTATGCCACACGCAAAGCCATTCAGCTTCATCTCCAGCTTTGTATTCTGAAAGTTCATCAGCCACCTCAAAAAATGGCTAGGAGTTTCTACAAGCTCTTTCCTTAATGGATCTTCACCCAAAGATCTGAGTATTGAAGTTACTGCAGCAATCATTCCAGGGTTGGGTGCTACAAGCTCTGAGGGAATTTTAGCCACAGAGGAAGAGTAGGAAGGGCACCAACTTTGTTTTGTAGAATCCCTAGTTAGGATTTTCTCCACAGTTATACCTCTGAATTTCAAAAGACCCAGAAAATCACTCCAAGCATCAGCATTTTCATTTTCAAAAACCCCTGAACCTGAAGACACCAGTGCCTTTACCCATCCTTGATGCTTTGAGTCAAGAAAGACAGACTCCAGATTTGGAAAATGAATGTGAAAACACTGGAGTATCACAGCAATCCCTGCGGGCTTGATTCCATGGTGTACAGCCGAACATATTTCATCTACAAGACGCTGTGGATCTTGAAGCCGTTTGGCAAAAATATCAGCTACTCTAGAGAGTTTGCTTAATCCCACAACCCGCTGACCAGATGGCACATAACCTACATGACACTTAACCTGAAATGGGAGCAAGCACGATTCACAATATGAGAACAGATCAAGATCTCGAACAATCACAAGCCCACCTGCTCCTCCAGCATGACCAACTCCATCATGCAAACCCACTTCAGGGAATAAAGCTCCCTGAACAATATCCTTCACTTTTTGTTTGTAACCTGAAGAAGGCAATGGAAAAGCCTTGATCAATACTTAGCATAAAACATGAGATTTAGAAAACCTGCATAAATACATATGCATGTATGTGAACAGACATAATACGTTCATGCATAACAATTCTTGATGAAGAGGAAAGTATACACATTCTTATACAAATAAATCACTGGCAAAAGAGCCTTATATATCAGCTTCAAAAACTTCGTACAAACAACATATAATCTTTAATACTAATGTTCTATTGGAGCCCAAAACTTGCAAAAAAACCAAAACACACTTAATCAATCAACCCCAAAATACTCGTACTTTAAAAATCTTTCTCTTTCATTGTTAGTTTTGGCTTTTTTCTAGCCGGCTAAGCCCCCATGCAGCCAAAAAAAAAAAAAAACATGGACACCATTTGCATGTTGGTTTACCAACACTAACAAGGCCTCGGAACTAGACCAAAGAAGAAAAAACAACCTTGTGCTTGTTGATTGCAAATGATAAAACGAAACAAAAAGAAGAGCAATAGAGCAGATCGCTTCCATCACCATCGAAGATAGTGACAATTTTCTAGCTAAAAGCAAAATCTTTATTCCACTTTATGCCGAAACAAGCGCCAAAAATTAAAAACTAACAACCTGCTTCAACCGGGTCTGCATATTATGAACTAAAAAAATTGCAGATCTTAGAGAAATTACAGCAATTACTACACTATGAAACTAGAATCACGAAAAATAAACAAAAAGCACCTCTTGTTCCTTCTCGAAGTGCCTTGGCAACACGAAAAGGAGTTTTCTTAAGACCTTCTCTGTTGACATCTTCACCCAAACCCTGCAACAGAACATTCACAGCATCCTCAATAGCTATAGTTTCTGGCTCTCTCTCCAAACCCAGGTCACTTACATCCAGCTTCATTCCATTCTCAAGCTCAACACAGAAATGGCCCTCATCCAAAGCGCCCATTGACAGAACCACAAAAAATTAGAAAGAAACCAACCTTGATCCAAATTAAAGAATAAAGTTATGAAAACCCAAAACTTGAAACAATCCAAAAATTCACCAGAAAATCAGAATGTTAATTCAAAATCCAAAATTTGATAAGAAACTCGTAAAATCTGAGGCACCCAGATGCAAAAAAAAGTAAAAGACAGATATCATATATGTATGAATAAAGACAGAAAAAGATAGGTTGAGGAAAACAAATAGAGGAGAGAAGGAGGTGAAGGGAATTAATATGTAGGGTTGCCGTTGGTCTTTGGAATGTCTGGATAATTTCCGATGTTTTGTATTAATTTTTTTCAATAAAAAATGAAAAAAAAAATATTTTTTCAGAGGGGAGTTTAGGGATGGGGCCTCCAAGAAGGGATGTTCTTTGTACGGGAGTGCAAAATCTATCTCGTCTGCTCCAGCCTCCAACGTCTTGTTATCTGTACAGAGACCCGAGGAAGGAGGCGAAAGAGAAAGAGAAAATGAAGTCTTGCTTCTTCGGCACCTTAAAAATTATATCTCTCCCTCCCGGAAGCTCCTTTTAAGGCACATTTTAGAGTTTGATTTTAGTATGATAGATGGGGCCCAAACCTGAAATGGGTAGGTGGAGAGATTGGCACATCTTACCAACCCACGAATCGAAAAAGTCCCAGATCTTCGCCACACGATAGGTTATGGGCCAATCTCGCTAAGGTGATTTTATGCTCATTGTCGATGTAACCTAGCCATGAATTGTCGTCTTGTTTCATGAAATTGGGGGTAGATTTTGTCTTCCCTCCTGTTAAAAGAGAGAGATTAATCGAGATGAAAATAATTAAAGAAAACAAAGTTACTAGTGGGACTAGAATGGAATCAAGATCCAACAATAACTTGGGTAACATCAAAATTTTTCAATGATGATGATCGATGATTTAGTAATGACAATGATAGAATGTAATGGTGAGTTTTGGCTGCTTTTAATGCTTTAAGGGGAATGAATTCATTCTATTCAATCTTCTATCTTTACCATCACTGGAAGTTTTGGCTTTTTGTATGTAGCAATAGTTGAGAAATTTTGAAATGAAAGCAAGAAAAAAAAGTACAGAGGATTTCTTTAATTAAAGGCTAAAAAATAGAAGTTCAATGTAAAAATTTAAATTTAAAAATATTAAATATTATTTTTTAAAATAATTATATAAATTAATTAAATTAAATTATCATTGACCGTATAATTTCATTGATTTCACATCTATTGAAGAATAGGTTAGGTTATTGGTTAACATTATTTGGATTAGATTCTGAATCAAAGTCAAATTGATCTTACCCATGTGCTTTTCTCAACAACCACATTATTTTTTTTTATTATTTATAATTACAATGTAGTGTAGTCATTTGGTGGGAAGATTCATTTAACTCTGGGACAACATATTTCAATAAGCTTTTAAGGAAAAGTATGGGGTTAAATCCATGGGCGTTGGACTTTGCTTTGTTCGGTGACAAACTGACAACAAACTCAATCTCCATTTTGATGTATGCCAGTTGAGGCCACCAACTCTTATTGATTGGTGATAAATTCACAACACCGACGTCATGGTAAATTTATGACAAAAAAGTCTCTGTTTATATGTAAAATTTTGGGATGTTATCATTTAATTGTAAAATTTAAATTAAAAAATTAAAAAAATTTGAATTATAAAAGCAGTTGATAGTAGAATGATAAGTGAGCATAAAAAATTTGTTATATGAAGTATAATAAATTTATTGAATAATTAATAATAAAAAAGTTGTCTGATTAGTTATATAAAGTAATTTAAAAATAGAAAAATTATCCATTAGTTTTTTTATCTAATCCCTTCTTTTTTTTTTTCATCACTACCTATTTTATAGCCACGTAGATGGAAAACACAAAAAGCAACCTTGGAGTCTTTATGCAATTTTTTTATCAGATACCAAAGCCACGTAGATTCAAACATCATGAAAAAAACACAGAAAGCAACCTTGGATTCTTTATGCAATTCTTTTGGTGGAACCATTATGCTGGGCCTTGGGGACACAGTCGCACGTTTTAGCATTCATCGATGCATTTTATGAAGAGATCATGCAATTTATTTTGCCAATGCCATTGGCCTTTGAGTATTGCAAAAGAGTTAGGCACTTGAAACGAGAACATAGGATTATTCTTTGTAACAGATTGAATATTATTCAGGAATGTAAAGGCCTAGTCCATGTACAGGACACCTCAACCAAGAAGTCTTATCAAAATGTCTTCTAATAAGGTTTTTAAGTGCCTGTTTAAGGCCAACAGAAACACCCTCCATACTTGGGCGACGATCAGGTTACACATTCTATTTACAGTGTACACATCCTTTTTGTTTTGCCAAAATTTTCAGACCCTTTCTTACTGCTTTGTTAATTATACCATGGTATAAGGATTTGAGATTTATTACTAATAAATTATAAATATAATAATTCGTATATTTATATCGTATCTAATTTTATATTAAATATGTATAAAATATTAAAATACAAAAATTATTACGTCATAATTTAAATCCACAAGCCAAACACAACTTTTTTTCTTCGGACAAACCCACATACTATTTTTATCAAAATTTTAAATCGTATTACCTTTATATTTTTTTGTATCATGTTTTCATGTCAGTGTATATAATTAAGATGTATAATAAATTAGTAAACTTTAAGATATACATAAAATACACAATTAGTATGACATATTAAAAAAATTTTGATGAAATATTTGAATTATAAAAAAAAATTCAGAGTAATTAGACATTAACTGTAATTATCTTCTGCAAACTTTATTAATAGCACCATTTTAGTATCATAGAAGTAGGTTAATCTGCCAAGACCTGGAGGCATCAAACCAGGGATCAATGGCTTCCGCTTCAGCCTTACCATATTACCTGTTTCCTTGCTTAAAACCGATACGAAAATAATGTTTAGTCATGCAATGGTTTATGCCAGTATTTTCAACTAGCGGGCTCCCTCAATCATCTAAGGCTTACGAGCAAGTTTGCTGAAAGCAGTACTTATTCGTTCATCAGCAGTCATTTTGTTTTCGTAGAAGTCTAATATCTCCATGGAGATGTTTTTCACCTGCCAGTTTCAATAAAAATGAAGTCAAAATATTAGCCAATAAAGCACTCATTATAAAAATATAATTGCAATTGTGATGTTATGGACCTAATTTCAGTATACTCAAAATTCACAGCAACATGCAATGCTCGAATTAGAAGGTGATGATCAGTAAATACTATGCAATTTATTTACAGTAGGACGATCTCAGAAAATGCATTAATTTCTTCCCCGTTAAATATGAGGTAAATGTGCCTCACCAGACGAATGGAAAAGAAATTTTCCAAAATGGCAGCCACTTTTTGGTAGTACATGGATTTAATTAAACAAAATTTTGTACAAGATGGGTGTTTTTATGTAACAAAAGAAACCGCAACACTGTAGATCAGATTTAGCTTAGAAAACTCACCACATTCATATCAACTCGAAGCTCTTCAAACCAAGTGGTGATATCTTTCGCTCTGTATACACTAGCAATGTACATGCAAGCTAAGGCAATCAAATATGGCGCGTGTATAAGAATAAGGTCCATCTTGTATGTGTCATTTACAAGTCCCCTGTGTTTCAAAACGCCAAGTTTTAGTGTATATTCATTCAGTTAAATAAAACTTTAAAGGAGGAGAAAAAGAAAGGATCCATAAGACAAATTTAGACCAATGATTGATCATGAAAAAGACATCCTAATTAGTGCAGCCACCAGCCAGTCTTAATGTAACCTACCTTTACATGCAAGAAACTATACATCTTGATGTACAAGATGATGATCTATCTCTTGAAAACCACCTACATATATATGATGCATAATAAAATATTCCAAAATTTCCATCCATAATTTTCATTCATTTCGGTTCAGACAAACAGGTTTCTTAAATACTTCTGCACTTAATACACCTCAGCCAACTTTGATTCTCAGTTTCTCAACCTAGAAATATTAGCTAAGTGACCAACTTCAAGTACAGCTCAATAGTAACCACAAGATAATCTACACGCACTATAGCACTAACATGATCCTATGTAATTTGCATAGGCTGGGTATTTAAAAGTATATAATCAATCTCAAAAAATTGCAACTGAACACAGTCTCCAATCAGGCTAAGTTCCATCTGTTTGATGTAGATAGATACAGGTTGCCAGTCAAACCATTATCTTTGATCCTAACCATCAATGGTACTCCATATGTATTTGAGTTTGTGTATATGTATGTGTGTGTGTGTGTGTTTATGTATTATACATCTTCAATCAATTTTTCCTATATGTAATGAAAATGCGACATGGTCCACACATAGTTGGGAAAGCCAAAAGAAGACTTTCAACAGCTCCTGTACAACTTTAAGACTTAAGGAAAAAGATGGGACTTTTTTAGGGCATATTTCTCACGTGCACTAAATATTTTGAACTTCAAAAGTGACTGATGTTGGAGTTTTGACACTTACCACGACATTTGAGTCATACCTATATCATTCATGCCGGCATCCTGCAACAACCTGCCAAGGTGACAGGCGCAAGATACTATTCAGATATGTCAAAATAAACACTGATGCCAATGAGCAGAAAGAACAGTATTGGAATAATTTGAACTTAAAGTAGCTTAGTTATAATGAATTTGATATTGCAAAAGGTCATCTTAAAGTTGCATATCAACTGTAAATTATCAGATAAGGCTGCATTCAGTTTAAGTTATTAAAAATGTTTTAATAAGTAATAAATCATAAATGTGCATCTCTATAATATAAAACAAGTATTTACTAAATGCTACCCTAATTCTAAGAGAATAAATTTATTGATATCAAATGATAAATAAAATTATGTCACTTGGGAACTGAAAAAGATTTAAAAGAACAATGAAAAATGGGGAAAATAAGAAGTATAATAGAGTAAGAGGTCAACATAATTCATGCATAGAATGACCTTACAGGATTGTATCTCCAAAGTAGTCCAAACTTATTAAGGCTAAAATTATGGTTTCATTATTTCCCCATGTAGTCATTTCTTATTCCAACAATAAATTGTTAACCATGCAAAAGATCAGTGGTACAAATTAAAATACAACTCCGAACACATAAAGATTATGGCAAAGAAGATAAAAGCTTACTGAGACAATGTGCGGTAAGGATGAAATACAACTAAATAATAGTTAAGCGCTTCTAAAATCTTCATTTCCATTTCAAGTATGTCTTTGATTTCATATCTATACCTTTCATCAGAAGCTGCAAAACAAATATAGCAGGATTGCAATAAAATACCAAATTTCCAGGAAGTTCAAAGGATTAATCAACCAACTTAGTAATAAGTGATTACATAATTTTTTGATGTAAAATACAATAAGTCTAGCCTGCACTGTGCTTTCTTCTGCCTTGGATGCCAAATATAAGCAAGTAGGAGCAACAAGACGCGGATCATATTCAGTCATACTCTTTCTATAAGACAAATGAAAAACTATGATTAATGATTGATAACACATTGTATGGAGGAAAATTGAAGCTCTTACCTAATTTACAAATAATGCACCTCTATGTCATATTCCCATCTAATAATTCATGGTTGCTGTGTGGGATAAAGAATAATGAGCTGAGTGTCTAATTTTGCATGGGAAATTAATTATCAAGTTGTAACCATGATGAATATGTCTTATGTGAAGAAGTTGCAGATCATGTAGGCTTAAGGATTGACATATTTAAAGAAAACTGCATAAATTAGGAAACATGAAGTTAGTCATGATGAATTTGTAACATGTTAAAAAACTGGCATGTTGTAGTTGAAAAATAACAAGAATCTCATAGTTTGAGATAAAATCAATGAGAGAAAATGAGAGGATAGGTTATGAGCTGCTT